CCTCTTTAATATGCGTCTGCACAATCGTTGGTTTGGCAAATCAATTAACTGTGATATCACACACTCGCTTCTTCTTCTTCTGCCTTTTGCCGACACTTTCGAACAACAACAACAACAATGGCAACAAAAGGCTGCGGTCAGCTATTTGGCATATATGCAAAGTTGACCGGCCACAAAAAGAACCACATTAAATTTTGACATGGGTCCATTATGCGACCATGTGCCAGGCACATGAGACACTCGGGCGCCGACGAAGGCGAGTGTTGAGGCGGGATTTGGGATGCGGGACATGCCGAAAAAGTTTACACTCGACTTGTTGGCGAGTCCTTTCTGGACTTTGTTGTGGTTGTTGTTTTTGTGGCTCGCAATGCAGATGCACGGTGGCCAATTTCAGAATGGATTTGTGGACAACAACAAGCAATCCGCACTTCACACCCCGTCAAGTTTTTAAATATGCATGAACACCTTTTTGGAAGCCCGTAATGTGTCCAGCGAGCAGGGTGCGGGCTACGGGTTGCGGATTGGGTTGCACACACGGCGTATACTTGATAGCACAAATCTCGTTTCAACGTCGACACACACACAAGACAAAGAAAAGGCTGAGCGGGCAAAATTTAAGCGCGTGACACGAACATGCACAGCTCAACACGAAAAATAAATGAATGAATAAAATGGAGGGATGGAGGAACATAGAATAAGAAAGAAGCCATAAAAACTTAAATTCAACAGAAATATTTTCTCAGTTTTGGAATTAAAAATAAATATTAGAGTTGATTGGAAAATATATATAAAATATACATTTGATATAATAACCATTTCTATATAATCAGACTCAATACATTCAACAGCTACACTTTTTTTGCCTAACTAAACAAAAAAAATGTTGAATCCTAAGGTTGTACGTAAAGCTTTACGCGCGGGATTCGTGATCGTCTCGTGTTATGTTAAAAAAAAGGAAGCAAAGCCCCATTGTGCCCATCCATAGATAGGAAAAAAGCTCAGAGCAAACAAATGTCGTTTCGGAACATCTATAATGTGCATTATAATTTTTCTATATTATTTACCTCATGCGACAGACATTTTAATTAAGTTTTTACAGCACTCGACTCAACGTTGATGCAATTCAATTGAAAGTTTGCTACACCTCAGTGGGATGGCTCTATATGGGTGTGGTGTGCGTGTGTGTGAGTGTGTAGACTACTTGCAGGACGATATCCTGGCAGAGCTTATCGCATCGTCTCAGGGCGGTCGACGCCTGTGCAAATGTGTGCACAAAATTAAAATGTTTACCTTTGTAATGAGCTTAGATGTTTGATGTCTGCCAGCTGCTTATGCCCTGCACAAGCACCTGCCATTATCATCATCATCATAATTCGTCCATCAATCATTCCACAAATGCTATGCGGTGTATTATAACCGACACAGCTCAAAATGTTGGCTTACATTTAATTTCAAATCGTTTTAAATTCAAATCATTTTAGGTATTAATATTTAATGCAAGGATTTTCAGCATTTAATCTTTGCGGCTTAAAACAAACGAAAATTTGACCCACATCGCTCTGCGTACAATTTCAATGTTTTTCTCTTTTTCTCTATTTCGCTCTCTCGCTCTCTTCTAACATAAGAAGTAATGTTTGCTTATAGTGGGTGTGGCTTAATGGCAAGACGTTCGCCCCGACGGCGAGAAGAAACCCGCAGGTTCGAAGCCGAGACACCACCACCATTAAAAGATCTTTTTCAATAATTAGTATTAAATTTATCTAAATGAGCTAATTTTATACATAAGAAATGAAATATATATATATATATATATATATATATATATATATATATATATATATATATGTACAAATAACCGTAATTGTATATTTATATATAAATAAATAATCGCTAATCCTTTAACTGTTTCTCTTAAGGCAACCCCATACTCCATGTGGATGACCAAGTTTCTTCTTACTTAAAATGCCGCCCTTAAAAGCCTGCCCAGAATGTTGATTGAGGAATGTTTGGATAATATTCACATTGTATATTCACTGATGCCAGATATTTATAACCATTTGTAAAACAGAGCTGAGCTGCGAGCCGATGAACTAGTGCATTGTCTTCAGCTTCAATTTAAGCTGGTTTCCTCGTAAAGATCAGCCATATATTTAAAATATGGGAGGCTGTTCAATCTCCACACATCGCACATAAGAAACCACCTCCAAATGTAAATATAAGATTTAAATTTAATTTTTGCAATTTTTTCCAGCCCAAATGTTGAACTGTGCTTAGCTATGGGTATGTAAGAGTCAAACTGTCCGAATTTAAGTGCAGCCCGTATCAGGAGCAACTGGTTGGACACGTAGTCCACTCGCTAAGTATTTGGCATAGGGTGTGTGGTGCGTGTCAAACTGTTTGGCATGCACAAGTTTCACTTGACAGTGGGCGTGACGCGTCGGCCATTTGACCAGGCCACTTTCGAGGCAAGGCTTGGTAAATGTTGTCAACAACAACATTGCCAGGTGCTCATCAGCCCGCTGTGCGCGTGTGCCTGATCAAAGGATTTGAGCTTTGCGCATTGGTAATGCATGCCAGTTGTTGTTTTGTTAATTTTAAATACAATTTCTCAGCCACAAAATACACAGCATTTGGCACGAACCGGCAGTCGATTCCTTGTGACCTTTCATCACTGCTCGACTCTTAAATTTTACTTCAGCTACCCCCACTAAACGTGCGTAAAGAGTATATTCGACTAAGGAATCTTATCAGATTAACATGCTTTGCTCCAAGCTTTTATCGCGAGAAGTTTAAAATATTTGTGAGCCTTTACTTAATAGAATGTTTTTCCAACTTATAAGAGACGCTATCAACATAATAAAAAGTACACAAAAGTGTTGTACTTTCCTAGTAAACTGTCACAGAAAACAAAAAAAGGAAGAGGGTTTGAACCCCATATTAGAGAGTCCACATGCTATTTCATTACTATCTTAATACATAGTAAATATTACAAATTCTCAAAATAAAATCTCCAAATACAAACAGTCAGGGTAAGCAAAGAATGAAAGCTGGTTCGAACCCCATATTAGAGACTCTTAATGGCAACGTTATTTCTTAACTACCTAAGAGTTTATGTTAATAAACAGTAAATATAACAAATTCTCCAAATACAAACAGTCACAGTAAGCAAAAAAAAAAAGCTGTTTCGAACCCCATATAAAGGAGAATTAATGTCCAGAATTTCTAATTTCTAATAAAATACAGTACATTTTAAAAACTCTCCAAATACAATCTGAACTTTTGAAGGGTACCTGCTAGTCGTTTACCGTTATGCAACTATAGTGTATACCTATATAGAGCACACTCCCTTGCACAGTTTATGCACCTCATACCCACTCGTTACACATTTCCTCACACTTCAGCGTCCTCTCACGGCAGCTGTAAGTATTTTTTTTACCCTTTCAGCGGCTGTTATTGTTTTGTCAAAAAGAAGGAGACATCTCTGATTCAATAAGGTATAGAAATCATTAAACATGAATATGAATATTCGTAAGCTGTCTTGGCATATATACTTCTTTTAGTTATAGACAGTACATTTGCTTTTGTAGAAAATATTCAAAAATTCTGGTAGTTTGTTTTTCATTATATCTTAAACTGACTTTAAAAAATATGAACTAATTTTTATAGAAAAATTTCACATATAAAGCAAAGTAAAAAAGGAAAGGGCAACTATATTATTAAGCGCTCATGGGAAAAACGAAAAGAAAATTAAATTTTTGAGTAAGTAAAGAAAGGGATTTGTATTAAAAAGTTGATAAGAGTGGAACTTTTAGCCACTTAAGCTACCGCCTCATCCCCGTCGTAACCGATTATCTCTACTAGAGAAATATGGCATGAAAACCTCTGCCAGAGTTTCATATAAATTTCGAATTACATAAGTTACAGCAAATTATTAAAATATCGAAATGAAAATAAGTCAACTGACTAAAAAACATGCGACCTAACTTTGCCTTAGCTCTGTGTGCGTGTGTGTGTGTATATATATCCCAAATCTGATATGACAGATAGTGACTGTTAGGGTATTAAATTGTCAGCACTCTGTAGATTACAGTTTTTTTCTTGTTACTTTTAAGACATTTGCTACACAAAGCAAACGTGCAAAATGTGTTAAAAAGTTGCATGCAGAGCGGAGCAGAAACAGAAGTCGGACAGCAGCAGCATCATCATCATCATTGTTGTTCCAGTTGTTCTTCTTGTTGTTGTTTTTGTTTGATGTTGTTGCTTTTTGCTTGTTTGCGTTTTGCTTTTGAAGTCTCACACACAGAGACACAGACACACACCCACATGCTACGTGCAACTTGCTAAAATTGCGAGAAAATGGAAATTAAATGAACTTGAAATTGTAAGCAGCTCAGATAGAGAGATAGATACACATACATATGTAGAACAGACGCGTGTGTGCCTGTACTTGGGCTAGGATTAGGCTCGCCTAGCTGCCACACAATGTGGCAGCTCGGCGATGACGTTCTCTCAACTTTTGCGTAGGTGCTCTCGCTAGCCCCAATGCAAAAGTTTTCCGCTAACAACAACAAAATGCGGAAAAGAGTAAAACCAAAAACAAAAAGGGGGTTTAGAGGTTTCTAAGGGTTTCATTCGCGCGCGCGCTGAAAAGTAGGCAACGATTTTGAGTAGTTGCGAAAAGTACAGAAAACAATTCCAAGACATATTTATTCAATTAATATTCATTTAATAGGCTCATAACTGCCTAGTTGTATGAAGATAGTCTTGAAAAACAAAAAAAAAACAAACTCAATTTACATCTATTAAGCAAACCCTTTAAATATGCAAATTCCACCTGGAGAAAATCATAATTAAAGCAATTCTCTAACTGCATTTTACAAGACCCGTCACCGATACCGAAACGAGACGATAAAAACAATATAAAAAAAATTCACAAGCTCAAGAGGTCTTGTGTTCACGTTAACAAAATATATTTATAATCATGTCGCACAGACAAAAACAAAAGATTTAAAACTATTCAAAAGTCGAAGGAAAAAACAAAGAAATATATACATACATTGTATGTGCAGATTTTGTTTTATCTATCGGTGGGTGTGGCATATTCAGATGCCATAAACTGCTTATCTATCTATTCACTTGCGATTCACGATCAGCAGGCTGATCTCATTCAAGCGATTGGTTATATTAAAGCGGCTGCCTGCAAAGCAATTGGATTATAGATTATTATGTGATATACTCTTTGAAATCCTCACAAGTAATAGTTACCCATTTTAATCTCAACCAAATCGCCTGTTTTCAAAATGCATCTCTGCATCTCGGCCGAGCCATTGTCCAGCTCAACTTCAAACTCGCCATAGAGCGCCAGAAACCGCTGGAAGGAAAAACAAAATGTTAATTTTTTGAAGCGCGATATATATTTGAATATATATATTTATACGCACCAAAGTATTGGTCTTGTTGCGTTTCATGCCACGCTGTTGCAGCGGCTGGAAGCGCATGTAGCCCAAGGCGCACTTGTCCTCCGTTCCGTAGAAGCTGTATTCAACGCCGTCCAAATTCGAGAACTCCAGGTTGGCCGCCGATGCTGCAAGAAATACGTTTACACTAATATAAGTAATCAGGTTGAAGACTGGATTTGAGCAGGTATTCTGGTTAGAACCCAAAATGTGACGTGCAAAGGTTTGCACCCAGAATGTGACGATGGGAGATTCGAATAGAGAATGTCTAAAACTCAGATGCGAGCCCAAAACGAAGCTTCGAACTCAAAGCTTCGGTGCAAAGTTATGGAAAACTAGCTACACAAAATGCGCTAGTTTAAATCCAGAAATGGCGACGGAAGATTCGAATAGATAATGTCCAAAACGCGGATTCGAACCCTTCGAACTCAAAGCTTCGGTTAAGAGTTGTGGAAAACAAGCTACACAAAAAAGCGCTGGTTCAAATCCAGAAATGGCGATGGATGATTCGAATAGAGAATGTCTAAAACGGGAATTCGAAGTTGGGGAAAAATAGCTTCACGAAAAGGAGCGGGTTCAAATCCAGAATGTAAGGATATCAGGTTCAAACTCACAGCCTATGTTTAGGAGGTCTGAAAAAGGCTGCGAACCTAAATTAAAAGCTATGTATAAAAAATATAACGTACTGAAGCGCATTGAATTGTTCTCTTCTTCACTCGCGATGCTGGCCACATCCTCAGTGGATTCGGGCGCCGCATCGCTAACACCACGTAGCCAATCCGTCATTTGCAAGAGCTGGTTTTGCGCCACATTAAGTATGGGCACCGGAGGCAGATCAGGCGCTGCTCTCGGCTCAGGTTCTGGCTCGTTTGCAGCATAGAATTTTTCTGTGCGTGGCATTGGATCTGCTTCTGATTCTGTTTCTGAATCTGAGTCAGAGTATATTCGAGAATTCTTTTTTTGTCGGGCTCGCGTTTTCGTTGCTGCCTTGCGTTTGCCTTGCCTAACATCTAATCTCTCCGGCTCCATTTGCTGATCCTCTTCTTCGGTTATTTCGGGCAGCCGGGATATGCCCGCGTCCAGTGGCTCCTGCAGCTGATGCCGCTTACGCTTTAGCGTCCCGGAACTGCTTTCTGTGGCTCCCGGCTCTCTGTCATCACGCGGCGTGCTGCTACAGAGCGGCGGTCTCACAATCAACGAATTGGTGCGATTCTGAGCTGATCTCGTCTTGGACTTATCCTTTGCGAATTTGGGAAAGGTGGAGAGCGAGCGTTCAAAGAAAGTAAACTTAAAAGGATTGCTGACCGTGTGCACCCAGGTGTTGCGCAGCGGAACCTGGCCACGCTTCGATCTGCGAACTCCAGCTGGCAATTAAAAAAAAGAATTTGGTTATTTTCATTAAACTTAGTCACTTTTTAGTTTCACGAATTTGAGATTCCTGTAATGAAAAGTTAGTCTTTTTAGCTATAGCTCTATTGTCAGTCTTGCGATTTGGATTACATTTAGATCAGTAAATCTGTCAATCAGTCAGCTTGTATCATTAATAAAGGTCTTAAGAGCTTCTATAAAAAACTAATCTTTCTGGCTATGGTTGTGCATCAGTCAATCAAACAATCAATCAATCAGTCACGTCAATCAGTCAGTTAGTTAGTTAGTCATACATGTTAATACTTACTTGTTTCATCGTTTCCGTTCGTTGCATTCGCGTCCTCCGGCAACGTCTCGTTGACGAGTGTAATGCGCAGCTTATCCAATGCGCTGTCCAATGGGTTTTTTCGATTTTTCCTGGACGGAGGCGCAGATGGTTTCTTGAACAGAGCATCATCTTCTGGTGGCTTCTTTTGCTTCTTTGGCTTTTGCTGTTTTCTTGTATCCTTTGATTCATTCCTCTTCTGGCTCTCTTCCTGGCGAATCGACAGCTGGAGTGCATCGCGTGCAGCTCTACTGGTGCTCGGCTGTTCATCTAACGGAATTGGGTCCAAGTGTGATGCCTCTGGTACAGCTGGTGGTGTTGGCGTTTCCATGTGCAACTCCTCCATACACGTGCTGCTCGCCTCTGTATTATTGATAAGCTGTGCCGGCAACACTAAATTCTCCTCCTCAGCAGCTGCGCCTTGTGCATCTGTGCCTTGCTCTACCTGTTCCTGCTGCTGCTCCTGCTCCTCCTGAGACGGCTGTGGCAGAGATCTGCGCGACTGGCGCGTATATCGAATAGCGGCTGGCGCAGGCGGGACAATTTGTATATCCTCAATAACCTTAGGTTGAGAGCTTCCTGTCAGTTGCTCCGCCTGCTCCTCCTCCGCGTAATTGAGTTCTCCCCGAAGCTCTGCATCCACAGCAATAGAATTAAGGCGCACCGACCTGCGCGAACATCGTTTGGCAGCCGGAGAAGGTGGCCTAATGGGTACATCCTCCAATTCTGTAGCTGCATCTGGACTTTGCTGCACCTCCGCTTCCGAACACATGAATTCTTCTGGTGGCTCCGGCAGATATCTCTGAGACTGACGCGAGTATCTTAAGGAGGCTGGTGGAGACGGTACAATGAGTATTTCCTCGACAGCACCTGCCCCCTGCAGAACCTGGGTTTCCTTTGGCGGCTCTTCGTTCACATCAATAGAACTGAAGCGCCCCGAGCTGCGCGACTGACGCGAGTATCTTAAGGGGGCTGGCGGAGAAGGTACAATGAGTATTTCTTCGACAATCTCAACTGGAGAGGTTTGTGTTTGATCTGGTGCAGCATTTACCTCCAGCTGCACCTGATTTTCCTCTGGCGGCTCTTCGTTAACATCGATAGAGCTGAAGCGAACCGATCTGCGCGACTGACGCGAGTAGCGTATGGAGATTGATGGCGGCGGCACAATGGGTATATCCTCAATGATTGAATGTGGCGACGGTACGGGTGCGATCTGTAGGGAGCTGTCGCTTAGGCGCTTTGGCTGCTTTGCCGGCAACGGCGACAGATTGTCCTCGATATCCGAGTTGCCCTTGGTGTAAAGACTACGCTTAGTGTCCGTCCTGGAGCGCGACCTGAGGCGTTTCTCAATAGCTTGCGAGAGCTCCAAATAATTCAAGAGCTCAGTGGTCTTTAAAGAGATTTTAAATTGAAATTAATATATGAAGTGTTTGGTAAGATTAGATAAACTCACCACGGGTGCGCCACGGCGTCTGGAGCGCGAGCGTCGCGGCAGCTCCATCAAAAGAGAAGAAGTATTGAACTGTTGCATCGATAAGCTACGCCCCATTGCTGCGCTTTTGTTGAGTCCAGTAGAGGATGCAGCTGGCGGTGGCAAAGCATTTAACTCCAAACTGGGTGTAGTCACTTTGTTGGGCAAACCTTCGCCCTGACCAGACAGATTACGCCGCAATATCTCCATTTGTATGCTCTGTTCCAAGGCCAGCTGTTGCTCCATGATGGACGGCTGCTGCTGCTGCTCCCCGTTCTGCGGATAGATCTTGCCCAATGAATTGCGTTTACGCAAATCAAGTATCTCAAAGTTGCTCATGCGTGCCAGTTCCTCGGCAAACTGTTCGCCGTTGATGGCCGGCCGCGGCGGCTTATTGAGTGCCACCTGTGCGGTCTTCTGTGTGCTCTGCTTAGGTAAATGATTTGTGCGCGTGCGATGCAAATCGAGCAGCTGCATGGTCGGCTCCTGGCAGGATGACTGCCTGCGCCGTCGCTGCAGCCTGGTTGTGTTGCCGCCGGGTGGCGCCAAGTTTAGCGGCGCTGTACTATCCGTATTCTCAGCGTCGCTCTCGTCGAGCATTGTATCATCCCGAATATTATCCGGACTGCAAGTGGTTTGTATGCCACAACTAACAGCAGCTGCTTCTGATGATCTTGGCGGTGTTGCCGGCGCAGCTGACGTCTCCTTTGGTTGTGTTTCCGGCACAATATGCTCCGTGTCCGGCTCGACTTGCTGTGACGTTCGTGTTGACTCCAGCAGCTCGGATGTGCGTCTCAGACGCACTCGAGGCGCCTGTGGCAGCGACTCCACCTGTGACCTATTCTCCTGGGTTTGTGTTTCAGTCACAATCTGGTCGCTTTGCTGTGCTATGCGTATGGCTTTCTGCAGCTGTGGTGAGCGTCTCAAACGCACACGAGGCTGTCTTACTACGTATGAATCCGTGCGCGCAGGTGACGGAGCAGTCTTTGCTGCCAGCTGTCCCATGGTTGGGCTTTTGCTTGAGGGCGCGGGCTCTGTTTCTATGATTTCTATGCCCCGATTGCCTACACTAGTTGGTGTCCCTAGACGCTGTGCTGTGCTCGTCGAGGGTCTCCGTGCTGCTGTTATCTTGGAAGGCCGCTCGGCCTTGCGGTCCATTTGCTTTAGACTTGACTCAAAGCTGATTTCGAAGTGGTCATGTTGCGGCGGAGGCTCAAGGGCGGCACCTATTGCTGCTGCTACTGGCGAACGCTGCGGCAACCGCTGTGGCTTACGCTGCGACGATTGCTGCGGCGATTGCTGCGGATCCTTCTGTTGCTGTGGCGACTGTCTGGTTGCTGGTTTCTCTGAAGCAGGCGTGCTACTAACTGTGGGCAGCTGTGAGATTGTCAGTTAATGTGAGCTGATATTGAAATATAACGAAACTTACAAAATCAAAGGTGCCCGATGTCTTGCGAGTCTCATTTACAGCATTGTCGAACTCCTGCTGCAGTTCGCGCCGGCCACCCAACTGGGAGCGTCTGTTCAAGGCCACACGACGCAATTTATCAGGCTCGGGCAGGGCGCCTTCGCTGCGAGTTGCTTGGAAGCGTAGAGTGTGCGCAGGCGAGACGCTATGGGAGCGCCGCTGCGGTGGTAGATTCTCGCGTGTCGGCGAATTGGGAAATTCGGGTTGCGGCTGTGACTCTGTCACCAAATGCTGCGCATTTTCTGTAATGGGTAGGTTAAATGTCTCGTGGAGCTCTTGTTTCTTAGCCACTCTCTGTGTACCTTTTGACTGAACCTGCTGCTGTTGTTGCTTTTCTGGCAGTTTGATCAAGTCGACGTCTACATCAAATGACACATCGTAGCCGCCAAGCACGTACTGTGGCGTGGCCTTTGGCTTTGGAGCGGTTTTGAGTTTTAGAAACGCCGTCAAACGATTTGCATCTGGGTTGCTCTCATTCAGAATGTCATCCAGCTCGCGCATTGTGTCCTCACTTATTTTCGGCCTGCAAAAACCACCTTATTTACAGTGTGCTCGGTTATTTTTTGTTGCTGCACTTACATGTTGTGTTTTGCGCCTTACGGCAAATTGTTTATTTATACTTCTTGTAAAGGAATTTGAAACGAAATGTGACGCCGTTTTATTGATGCGCGCTGCTTCAGCTCACTTGCTTTACAACACTGAAATGCAAGACTGTCGCTGGCAGTGCTGAAAACATCGATAAGTTGCTCTCACGGCGCTAAATGTATCGATGATAACGATTAGTTAAACGACACCTACGGTTGCAATCAGTGCTGCCAATCGCCGCTATAAATAGCTATAAACAGTAAAGATTGGCAGCACTGGTTATGGTTAGGCTAGTAGGATTACACCTCCAATACCAAGGCTGTAGGTGTCATACCAGCTTAAGTAAACATTGGGCGCGCTACACAATGAATTTCAATGGAATAAATATACCCCAAAAGCTGGTGCCGCACAACTATTTGCAGCTGGGATTGGCGGCGCAGCGAGGCAGGCAGCGCCAACTCAAAGAACTGCTGGAAAAGGTAGCAGAAGAAAAACGTAAAACAAATAGAGATAAGAAATTGTTTGTTTTGCAGCGAAAATTGCCAGAGCATGGTTGGCGGGATGAGGAGATCGAGGAGCTGGTGCACCAGCTGGCCGCATTGGACAGCAACAATTTCGCACACAATGTGGGCCTCGGCGAGCGGGAGGCGCGCATTGCGTGCAGTAAGTAAAAAATTTAAATTGAATAAAGAAATCTTGCGATTATTCTTGGATAATTCAGAGCTCGTGGCGCGGCGCCATTACAACTTTGGCCATGGCATCGGGCGCTCTGGAGATCTGCTGGAGGCACAGCCGAAGGCCGCCGGCTCCACGCTGCTGGCCAGTCTGACAAACGCACTGCTGCTGGATCTGATGAAGATGCTTGGCCTGCAAAGCTGTCGCGGCTGCTTTCTGGTGCCCCTGGCGACGGGCATGACGTTGACCTTGTGCCTGCAGGCGCTGCGCAAGCGCCGACCAAATGCCAAATATGTGCTCTGGTCACGCATCGATCAGAAGTCCTGCTTTAAGGCCATCACCGCCGCCGGCCTGCAGCCCATTGTTATACCCGTCCAGGTGCTGGCGCACGAGTGCACCTTGGTCACAGATTGCGGCCAGTTCGAGCAGCGCATCCGGGAACTGGGCGCTGCTAATATACTCTGTTTGTACAGCACAACCAGCTGCTTTGCACCGCGCAACTGTGACAGCGTTGTTGAACTGGCAAAGCTGGCCAAAAGCGCGGCTGTGCCGCATCTGGTCAACAATGCGTATGGACTTCAGTGCGAGGACATCACGGGCCAGTTGGAGCGTGCCCAGCGCGTGGGACGCATTGATTACGTTGTCCAGAGCACGGACAAGAATCTTCTAGTGCCTGTGGGCGGCGCCATTGTGGCCAGCTGCGATGAGCAGCTGCTGCAGCATCTGGCCAGCAGCTATGCAGGTCGCGCCAGCAGCTCCCAGACACTGGACGTATTCATGACGCTCCTCTCACTGGGACGCAGCGGCTACCAGGCTCTGCTACGAGAACGCCGGCAAAATTTTCAATATCTCAAACAGCGGCTGCAACAATTTGCGGCAGAGCACGGCGAAATCGTGCCACAGAGCACATTTAATCAGATATCCCTGGCGCTCACCGTGAGCACACTGAGACGTCTTGGTGAGGAGGAGCACAGCGTGACCCAACTGGGCGCCATGCTACACTCGCGCGGCGTGTCCGGTGTGCGAGTGGTGCCCGTTGGTCAGACCAAATCCATCGATGGCTACGAATTTAAGCGTGGGTATCTGTAAATATCAATTATATATATAATATAAATTTTTATATAAATTATATAAATTATATATGTAAGATAGGGCTTCTTTCGGTCAATTTAAATTTATGTATTTATTTATTTAATTTGTTATTATTTACAGAGAACAAATCAATAACAAATTAAGTAAAGAAACAAGTAAACATATTATTATATATATGCAATTTGATTTCTATTTAATTTTCATCAGATTTTGGTTCGCATCATGAGCTGATGGAGATGCCGTATTTAACTGTGGCCGCAGCTCTGGGCATCCGTCGCCCGGAAATCGACAAGTTTTTTGAGATCTTGGACAAATGCTGGACACTGCTCAAAAAGGCACCTGCTTAGCTTAGTTGGACTGTTGGAATGTATATACTCTATTCTTAAGTCGGGTGCATAAAAAAAACAATTGTAGCCAACTATAAATAATTCGACTAAGCATAGCTTATACTAGTATATAGCTTATATCTATCGATTGCTGGGCTCGTTCTCCTTGTCGTTGACCTTGCGCTGGCGGTCACGGCTCTTGCGCTGCTGCAGATGCTGCTGCATGGTCGCCTCGATTTGGGTGAGGGAGGTCTGATACTCGAGCTTGATGCGCTCGTATTCGCGTTTCATGTGCGCCTCCTTGTCCTCCGCGTACAGCTTGTAATTGTGGGCGGTGCGCTTGGCGCTCTGATACCGCAACTGTGCGGCACGCATTGCCTCCTCGTGGCTGTCGCGCAGCGTCTGGACTTGGGTGCGCCAGTGCTGTTCCACCTGTTCAATGGATTGCTTTTGCTTATCCCATTCGGCCATGACGGTTTTCATGGAACGTCGCTCGGACTCGATGCTCGCATGCTGCTCGTCCAGGTCGCGCAGCAAGTCAGCAATGCGCTGGTTCTTCGACTGCAGCTCGCTGCGGCACTTGTGCAGCATTTGCTTCTGCTTGTCCTCCTGCTCGGCCAGCAGCTCCTGCATTTGCTCGCGCTCCGCGAGTATCGTTTGCTTCAGCAGCTCCACCTCCGTTTGTCGCTGCTGCAGATCCCGGCAGACCAATTGATATTCGCGCTGCAGGCACAGGCTGCGCTCCTCCGTCTGCTGAACGCGCTGCGTAAACCGCTTCAGCTCGGCGGCAAAGAGCTTGGCCATCTCGTCGCGCACACGCTGCTCGATGCGCTTGATGCGTGCCTGCGTCAGCTCCGGTGAAGCGGGTGACGCCGCCTCGGCTTCATTCGCGGCTGCCTGCTTGGGGGAGCTGACCGCCTTGGCTGCCTCCTGCTGCAGCTGCTGCTCATATAGCTCTGCCTTAGCCTTGAGCTCGGCTAGCAGCTTTTCTTGCTCCGCCGCCTGCTGGAGCTTCACCTCCAGCTCCGCGTGCAGAGCCTGCGCCTGCTGCAACTCATTTCGCAGCTCACTCAGCTCCTTGGCCTGCATGGAGTTCATGTTCTGCAGCTTTAGCATTTGGATTTCAAGCTGTAAGTACATTTAGTTAGAGCAGCGCTCGTTTGGAACACTTCACATCCTACCTTGGTTACCTCGGCCAGCTGATCGCTGCACTTGCCGCAATTGCTGGAGCTCTCCTTGGCTGTTTTAAGCACCTCCTCGTGCATTTCGCGCTCCCATTTCTCGCGCAGCAGCTGCAGCTCGCGTTCGTGTCGCAGCTTCTCCGTGTCGAGTATTTTCGATAGCTCCTGCGCCTTCAGCTCCGCCAGCTGCACATTGCGCTGCAGTTGGGCAATTTGCTGGCGCTGCTCCTGCAGCTCCTTGATGCTATCCGTCTCGCTCAGCTTGCGCAGCTGATAACTCAGCGTCTCCTTATCGTTGGCAATGTCCGTGTAGAGCGTCTTCAGTCGTTCCACCTCGCCCTGCGCATCCTTCAGCAAGATCTTGTGCCGCTCCAGCTCCAGGCGCAAATTGTCCGCGGTGGCCCGCGTGCGCAGCTGTCGATTGTCATCCGTTAGCTGTTCGTGTTGGCGCCGCAGCTGCTCATGCGCCAACTGCAGTTGCTCCAAATCCAGCTGCGCCTGCTTCAGCTGCTTATCGAGCTTTTGGCGCTCTGTCGTTTGCGCCAGCGTCTTCTGCTGCAGTGCTTCCCGCTCGGCCAACAGCGCATCCAATTCAGCTTGCAGCTTGGACGAATTCAGCGTTGAGTTGTGCTGTCGCTCGTTCAGCTGCTCCTGCAGCACCCGAATGCGCGTCTCCAGACGCGAATTGTCTTCCTTCAGCGTGGCCAACTGGACCAGCGTTTTGTTCTCCTCCGCCCGCAGCATGCTCAGTTCATTGGTGCGCTCGTCCAGTTGTTTCTCCAGCTTGCGCACTTCCTCGCGCTTGTTCTTCAAACTGGCCAGGGCCCGGTAGAGCTCCTGCTTGATGTGTCCCATACGATCGGCTGGATTTAGGGGCGTGCTGCCCATCAGACGGGACGGCAATCTATTTGGCGTCTCCGTTTCGGCCTGATGCTGTTGTATCAGCGTATCCATCAGATCCAGCTCAGCTGTGGTGCCATTAACACGCTCCGTTAGCTGCGCTATGGTCTGCTCCATGCTGGCCACCTGTGCGTGCAGATCGGCTATGCACTGCTGCTGGCACGTGTACTCCGCCTCGTAGTTGGGCTTGGCGGCCAACTGTTGGAAGCGCCGCTGTGCCACATCCAGCGCGGCGTTGAGTTCATTGATTTTGGCCGCCTTGTCCAGCAGCATGGACTCGTGGCTGGACTGCAGCGCATTGTAGCGCATATGCATTTGATCGAGCTCCTGTTTTTTCTTGTCCAGCTGATCGCTCAGCTGACTCAGCTGCTGCTGCAGTAGCTCCGTTTGGGCGCGTTGATGCTCCTCCAGCTGCTTGATGCGCATATCTGTGTTGCGATCCTCACGCCTGTGCTGATCCCGCTCGACCATGTCATATTTACGCTGCACATCGGCGAGCAGCGTTTGAGCTGTCTCCAGCTGCCCAACTAGCTGGGTGTTCTCCGCCTCCAGCGAACGCTTCTCGCAGCGAAGCTTCTCAATGTTATTGTCCAAATTGGAGCACTTCTCTTTGCTATCCACGAGCAGCTCGTGCGCGTGCTGCTTCTCGCGCAGCGCCCGCTCCAGCTCGGCCTGGGTTATGGTCAGCCGCTTCTGGTACTCATCGATTTTCTTATGCGCCTCCGTGGCCAGCTTATTGATGTTGCTCAGCTCGTGCGTCTTGGAATCCAGCATCATCTTTAGCTTATGCATTTCGCTGGCACTTACAAACTCCTCCTGCTGATGCTGGGCGGGCTGTTGCGTAGGCAGCGGCGGCAGTTGATGCGTGGGCAACAAATTGGAAGGATAATTTGTTGTCGAGTCAATTGTGCTCTCGTCGTCCTCGTCATCCAAATCATCGAAAGCATTTTCCAATAAATTCCCCAGCTATAAAATATGTATGCACAAAATAATTAAAAATAACTTCAGGTAAACAAGGCTTGCGTCGACTCAAATGCCAATAACTACCTCCGCTTCGCGTCTCTTTTGATCCTGCAGCGCTTCTTCTTCCTCCTGGCGCTCCAGCGTTGAATTTACCTTGAGGGTTTCGGCGCCCTGGAAAAGGCTGACGCCGGGCGTGTTCATTTTGACGTCTGTTCACAATTAATTTAAATTTGAATTTGAGCTAATGGCGCAGGCGCTGATTTTTTTTTTGTTTTTGTTGTCGACGTCAAGTTTGGTATGCAGCTCAGCACATTAGCTTGCTAATTTTGAGTAGACACTTAACAACTGTTGCTTGGATATATGGCAAATCAACGCAACTCTGCAATCATATTCCCAGTTTTTTATTAATTTTTCACTACAGCAAATTTATATCATACAGCTAAATACCGCAACAGCACTGAAGCATGTTTAAACATGTTTACTTTCCACGCTTGATAAGCAAACCACAAGCCAGTTCAGACTGTAGTAGTATGGCAGCACTGTGCTGCTCGTGGTGGCCGGTCGATAACACCTAGCGTAGGGTGCGTCAGCATATCGATAAAGTAAATACAGGGATGCACACATTAAACATTAACCAAACTGATGCGTTTAATAAAAAAAATAAATTATGAATACAACTCTTGTACAAAGATTTGTCTTGCTTTTTTCAAATTTTTTCAGTTTTATTATTATTATACAGACTGTCCATTCATAAACGCACTTATATTGGGACATTTATCTAATTTCTCGGCATCTATTTGGAAAACCTTGGACAAACGTTTCCAACTTTGCGCATCAAAGTAATAGAAGGTGCCACGCTCTTTTGTACCATTTTTTTCATATTGATTAATGCCAGGAATTCGAGTTATCCAAATCTTCTCCTCCACATGATACCGCCACTCGCGACTATGCCTGTGTTATAGAGAAAATAGAAATGTTAATTTAAAATAAAAACAAGAGAATTTGGTTTTCACGGGACTTACAATTCAGCAGCTGCCATTAATTGCATTATATCACCGATATTCGTGTAGAACAGGAAAAAGAGCAGATCCTCTTGCAGCTTTTTCAGTACCGGCGCTGTGAGCTTATCTCTAATCGCAAAATTGATCAGATATTCGGGTGGCACGCTGTACTCAACGTCTTGTGCTCTGTTAATAAACAAACAATGTTTCAATTGGATTTGAATTTGAATGCAACCGATATTGCATTGCGATAAGTCCATAAGCAACCCAGCGCAATATAGTATCGACATCGATCGATATCGTTTGTATTCAACATTTTAAAAAGGGGCGCCAAACGAATCTAATTGGCTTGGGCGCGCTCACCTGCAGGGCTGTTCCACGAACGGTCCAGCGAATGTTGGATGCAAACTCTCCTGTGAATTCAGATTCAGGCCCAGGCCCGTTAGATCCGTGCCCAGCGATAATGTCACCAGATTTGGATCCGTCTCGGCCGCCCGAATGAACGTCAGCAGACCCACCATACCAAACTGATTGTTCACCATGCTCGCTGGTATGTTTGTGACCTTGCCTGTAAATTGAGATTTGATTTGGTTAGTATGTGCACTCTTCTATTTGGTATTTGGGCCTTACCATCTGGCGATGTTTGTACGCCGCTCTTCACAAGTTTATCATTGCTGGAATTATCGTTCATGTGCTCGCCGCCCGCTCCGCTGCCCGTGCCACTGCCGAGACCGCCGCCAACGCCCATCATTGCATTGTTGCCGGTAACGCTGTTGACACCACCGCCACCGCCGCCGCCAACCCCGCCGCCGCCAGCGCCTACTAAACCTACATGCGTCGCATTTACCACACCGCTTGACCCGCTGCTGCTGCTGCCGCCACCAACAACGCCGCCCAGACCGCTGCCAACGGCGCCGTGACCATTGCCACCAACAACGGCGCCGGAACTGCCCGCACCGCCGCTGACCACAATTGAATTCATTGCCTTTTCCGTGCCATCCAGATTGTTCTCTGTGATACCGCCGCCGCCGCCGGCGCCTCCAGCAGCGCTGCCAACGCCGCTGCTGGCGCCCAACGCGTTCGTTGTGCCATCCGAGTTCTGGGTGCCCGGTAACGCAGGAAAGTCCTCGTTGGACATCGTGAATTCCGATTGCTCTGACGTTGGTTGCTTCACCATGCCAACTGAAATTAGTTCCAAAACCCATCAGTCAATTTGGCAGAGTACAAGGAATGCGGTGCACTCGCATAACAAACGGATATAGCAAACAAATACAGTACGTTCTTAGGGGATAATCCTTCTACTAAAACTAGTTAATTCCAAAACCACAAAGCAAATAGTAAAAAATAAAATTGTTATCCTCCTAATAAAATCGAAGATATCTTTGTAGACATATGACACATATGGTACACAATATACATATATCTATAGTAAGCAGCTATTTTCTAGCAAAATTGAACTGTTTTCATCATTTATAGAACATAAATATAAAATAAAAAACATTAGCACAATTATGTGGGCAATCAAAGTACATACAAATATAGGTATATATATATACATATATATATATACATATATATATATACATATATATAAATAGAGAGTTATAAATAGAGAGTTAACCGCAACCAATTGTAGTTATAAACGTAGATTGTAACCGAAATGTAAATTAAAATAATGTGGATTTTTGTTTTGAACTCACAAGAGGTAAAGAAATTACCGTAGGGTTTGCTGCCCGGCGGCTGGAGGGTATTCGATTGGGGCAGTGTCTGATCGTTCTGGCCGCGCGCATTCGTCAGCGATGGAAACTCTGTGGGATCGAGCAGCGCCGGCGTTGATGAGTCCGCCCCGCTGCCACCACCGAATACATGAAAGTTATTTAAAGGGCCGCCGCCACCGCCAGTCCCATAGCCGCCGCGGCCGGATTGCATAAAGTTGCCCATGTTCGACTGCAACGGAAACGATTAAGTATTTAATTCACATTTGTGTAAAATGCAATATATAGATGCACTCACCATGGGCCCGCTGCCCAGACCCTGCATGGCACGACGCTCCACAAACGGCCGCTGGCCAAATAGATTCGCATTGCGATTGCCACTCGATAAGGCGGGACCACCGACGGATAACTGCGCATTTCGATTCGGCGACAGCTGAGGCGGCTGTTGCGTTTGTTGACCGTAATTCGCAGCGCCAGGATAGGAGGTTGCGAAGTCTGCACACAGAAAGAAAAAAAAACATATTAAGAAAATATAGTACATATGTTTTTGACGCGACTTACCGGTTTGGAACATGCCGGACGTGGGTGTTACATGGCCAGACATGGAGCTACCACCAAAGCCGCCAGTTGTGCGGCCCGTTAAAGCCGCGTTTGCTATGCTTCTGGGAGGTTGTTGAAAATTTAAATTCGCCATAATCTGCAAAGCAGAAATAAACACAAAAATAAAGCAAAAATTGTATTTGACGAGGATCAACTAAAAAAAACATTTATTCCCATTTTTATGGTGCCTGCTGCTAATTGCATTTGATTGGCAGCTCAAGCGCTGTTATCGATTACAGTTATCGATTTCAAAGCCAGATCAACAGCAAAAAATCGATAATAAGTCAAAAAGTTTGTGATGCAGTCGTGACGTGTGCTGTGTGTTTTGGCGCGCACCAGACACGGTATACATACTTATAGTATATACCAATTGGCCAACAACAACAAATCATGCGAGGCCGGCTGTTGTTTATCAGAAACGTTGATGCAGCTGAGCGAGAGAGGGTCAAATTTGATTTGTGAACAAGAGCTACGTGACGCTGACTCACGTTAGATTCAAGGAGAGCGAAACAGAAACCAAATCGCGCGCATTTGATAACAAAACCGAAAACCGAGTGCAGATAATAATTGCGGCGCGTTGAAAATAACACAAACATATGCTTATAAATAAATATAAACAAGACACAAATGGGGACTACACGTTTTTTGCTGTCTGACTTTGTCTGATTCTCTGCATTTTTGTTGTTGGGGGCGGATTTTTATTAATTTGCGGCTTCGATAAAGCCAAGGTCGCTGGAAAATTTACGTAACAGTTACAGACAACAGCTACAATCAGCCGTAATCAAGCTGTAACAGCTAAAAAATAAAGCACAGCGAATTTGAATACAAAGCAGGTAAACAAAGTGGCGTTCACTTTGCAATACTAATTCCGATTAAATGGCCGCGCGGGCATCAGCTGTCAAAAAAGCAACAAAAATCAATGGACATAGCATACGTCAGTGTGTGCATAAGCACACACGCACGCACACATCCGTCTAAAAACCAGCCAGACAAGTAATGGCAACCAAAAGACTGCACGAAGAAAAGCAAATGAAAAAGGATGCACTGCACTTGACATAGGCGATCAATTTGTAATTGTGTGTGTGTGTTTGAGCGTGTATGCGGTGCGCACAATAAACGATGCTGCGTGTGTGAGTTTTGCTGATCTGCTGTTAGCTCTATCGGCGGCTCTGGCTGCACTTGCACCTCTACACTGATTATTGTTTACTGCATTGTACCTTCTGTGTTGCGAGCACCTTTCTTACACGCTCTCCTCTATTTGTTTGCTTCAACTTTGCTAGACTGATAGCCCGATTGCTTTACAGCGTCGGTTCGCCGATGCTGATCGTACGGGTTTGTTCGCTATGTATGTAACTCCATCAGCTGACCAATGGATGTTTTGCAACACTGAATTCGCTTACAACAAATTGCAGCGAATTCAACATTGGCCAATTAGCGTTTTGAGCTTGCCTTGGAAACGGAAAAGCGAGCTTAAGCCAATAGAAACTAGATTGAACTGTGAGTGCTGAAGGGCTGGCGGTTGTTTACAATACTTACCTAAATGAACGTTGGATGATAATGCTGCTGCTTCTTCCTCTTCTGCCACTGTTAATGCTTCGGTTTGCCGACTACTGCTGTTACCAACAACAACATACACTGAATGTTTTGTTCTCACCGCATTTAACATTCCAAAGCGACGGGGACGTTGTTGTTGCTGACGCTGCCACTGCCGCTGCCGTGTGCTCTTGCGTTTTGTCAGCTGCTGCACCAACTGACGCTAGTAGTTGTGAACTTGAATATGTTTAGTTTTGATCACTCGACTCGGTTTACAGTTACAGTTATAAATGGCACTGGCACACACACACGCAGGATAACGCTCGCACGCACACAGGCACCCACACGACGAAGATGATGCGCAAAGTGTAGCCGCAACGTGCGGAGAGAGGTTAGTTGGTATTTTTCCGCGCCGTATCGTCCCTAAATATATTGCATATATATATACATATATATATGCATGCACGCACGTACACACTCGCTGTATTGGTAACTGTGTGTTGGTGTACTTCGTCGTGCCTGCCCGAGAGCAGGAGTACCGAAGGTTTTTTCTTTTTTTTTTTAAATGTGCTTTCCTCCTTGCCTTGCAGCGCAAAGCGGCGCACTACACAATTTTGGGCTGATGCAGAGGCGTCCAATGCAAAATATTCATAGGGTATTAACACGTTTTGCTGTTGTTTTGCAGAGTTTGGCCTTTTTTTGGTTTGTTTTGCCTTGGTTTATGTATAATATGTTGGTTTTATTTGTAAGTAAATAATTGCTTGATATTGCGCTGTTGCCACTGCTTCTTCTTCCTTCACTGCTTCCACAGTATGTTTGTGTGAGTGTGTATGTCTCTGTCTTTGTTTTCTCAGTTCATTGAAATTTCACCCGAACGCGAATTTGGGGTAAATTCGCTTCGCGATTTGCGCACCTTTTACGCCGCGCACAATTAAACGCACTTAAATTCAAAATAGACAAATGCCTATTATTTACAATTGCAATGCTATAAACAATTTTTGAGCGTTCGAAAAACGCTTAAAATGTACACAAAATACGTTCCGCAAAAAACTTTTGTGGCTCGTCACATACGAATACAAATACACAAAAGACGGAGACGGATGATGGTTATCGATGAAGCGTTGTTATCGATAGTAGCGTTTACAACAGCAACAGCAGGGTCGCATTTAAAGTTATAGGAGTGCAAGGCACGAAGCAAGATTAACAAATACGGCAATTAAAAAAATTAATTATATAGTTGTTATTTAGTTGTATGTTAATGAACTTTAGCGTTACTACTTGCTTGATCGTTTCAATTGTTTAAAGTTTATATATAAGTTAATTATACGTATAGCTAGTCTGCACGTGTCTGAGCCGCCAATCTTGTAATTTGCATTTTTGGCATTGGCATTTGATTGTTGAATAATATTACCAAATTAAAATATGGCCGATCCGAATTCAGATGACGAGAGCGGTAAGTGCATTAAAAAATATTTGGCTGTGTCAGCTGTACTTGAATGCCTTTTTCTCAGGTACTGGGTCCGGTTCCAGTCGCAGTGGAAGCCGCAGTCGCAGCGTCACACCGCAAGGCGGCAGCGCACCGGGGTAGGTTTTTAAAAATTCAACTCAGCCTGTCACAGTGGTATTATTTTTTATATATTACCTGTTCAGCTCGCCCCGCAGTCGTAAATCGGGCAGCGGCAGCGATCGTTCCCGTTCTGGCTCCAGATCCTCGCAATCGCGGTCTGGTTCCGGTTCGCCGCATAGCGCACGCAGCGGCTCAGCGGCAAGTCGACGGTCGCGCTCCGGTTCGGCGCGCAGTCGGCGCTCCGGTTCGGCTCATAGCCAGCGCAGTAGCTCAGCGCATATTCAACGTTCCCGAAGCGGCACTCCCCATAGCACCCATAGCAAGCACAGCGGCAACGCGGAGTCCCGCTCCAACTCACCGAATCTACAAATTGACGACCAACGCGCCAATTCAAAGAGCAAGAGTCGCAGTCGTAGCCGCAGCGGCAGTCGCACTTCCAGATCCAAGACCCGATCACAGACCCGTTCCCGCAGCCGCTCCCGCTCCAAGTCGGGCACACCACGCTCACGTTCCAAGTCGGGCACACCGCGCTCAGTTCGCACATCCCGCAGTCGGAGCGGCTCCGCCTCCGGCTCGGGCAGTGACATTGGCGTACCCAAGAAGAAGCCCCGCCGCCAAAGCAATTCGGATAACGAGAAGCCTGATAGCGACACAGCAGCACCCTCCAAAGCAAAGAAGGCGCGCTTGATTGACTCCGATAGCGAGGAGGATGTGCCGGTAGGGCATACTGTGCTCCATGTGTTCCATCAGCAGCTAATTTAACTATACTCCAATTATTTGCAGCCCAAGAAAGCGCCTGCCGCATCGGACATCTTTGGGGATGCGGATGACATCAGCGATGACGAAGAGACGGCGCATAAGTCTCCGGCGGGCAGCTTGGCGCGCTCGCGTAGCCGCAGCCTAAGCAAGTCCCGCTCACGCAGTCGCTCCATGAGCCGCTCGCGCAGTCGTTCCCGTTCGCGATCACGCGACGCCGAGCCGCAGTTGACCGTGCCCAAGGAGGATGAGCCGGAACCGCTGCCGGAGACGCGCATCGATGTGGAAATACCGCGCATATCAGCCGATCTGGGCAAGGAGCAGCACTTCATCAAGCTGCCCAATTTTCTTTCGGTTGTCACGCATCCTTTCGATCCGGAGACGTACGAGGACGAAATCGACGAGGAGGAAACCATGGACGAGGAGGGTCGCCAGCGCATCAAGCTCAAGGTGAGCAACACCATCCGCTGGCGCGAGTACATGAACAACAAAGGCGAGATGGTCCGTGAGTCCAATGCGCGCTTCGTGCGCTGGTCCGACGGCAGCATGAGCCTGCATCTGGGCAACGAGATCTTCGATGCGTATCGCCAGCCCCTTGTGGGAGATCACAATCACCTGTTCATACGCCAAGGCACTGGTCTGCAGGGTCAGTCGGTGTTCCGCACCAAGCTAACCTTCCGGCCGCATTCGACGGAATCATTCACACACAAAAAGATTACCATGTCGCTGGCGGATCGCTCGACCAAGACAAGCGGTATTAAGATACTCACACAGGTGGGCAAGGATCCCACCACGGATCGTTACTCGCAGCTGAAAGAGGAGGAGGCCAAGCTGCGTTTGGCCATGCGCACCCAGCACAAGGCCCAGCCCAAGAAGAAAAAGGCCGGCGCCGGCGAGCCGCTGATCGGCGGCGGCGGCAACTCCTCCTATCAGCATGACGATGGCAGCGACGACGAGAATGCGATCAGTCTGAGCGCCATCAAGAATCGGTACAAGAAGGGCGCCGGCGGCACCCAGGCAGAGCCGAAGGCCTCCACCATTTACTCCTCGGATGAGGACGAGGGCTCCGATTTTGAAGCGCGACGCAGCAAAAAGGTCAACAAGGCAAAGGCCAGCAAAGCGCTGCGCGATTCCGACAGCGAATCTGACGTCGGCAGCGGCAAAAGCGGCGGCGACCGCGCTGCCGACGCCGGCAGCGCCAGTGGCAGCGCCAGCGGCAGTGACAATGAAAGCCGCAAATCCGGCGGCAGCAAAACTGGCACTGCTAGCGGCAGCGGTTCCGGCAGCGGTAGTGGCAGCGGCAGCGATAACGATGATTAGCCGATACACAAACCAGAAGCCAATAAGAATAGTGTATTAGGGACACAATATGACTTAGCTTAAGTTGTTTTTAACCATGGTTAAACTAAGTTCGGTAAAGCAAATAAATGGAATAATCTTAAAAACAACTAGCAGCAAATGGTTGTCGAATATTAAATACCCTTTAAACATATAGAAAATGTGTGGGATGTGCTTTGGAACCTTTGGTTCCTGTCAGCTATATTCTTTTGATTGTTCTTATATATAGAAACTAGCGGGTATGGAACAACTTTTTCAAAAAGCTTTGAAAATGATTTTGAAACGTTTACGTTTCACGTTTGCCTTTTCCGCCAATTTACCACTGTTGCGGGTGGAATTTCTCAAATCGTTGAAACACATATTCACTAAGTTTTTATGTAGAGCTTTTTAAATAATTTTGAAGCAAATCGGAAAAAAATTAAATCGTCACAAAAAAAATCTTTGAATTGCACTTTTTACCGAGGATGCTTTGATTTTGCGAAAAATGTGAAACACGTCTCAAATGATTTTTCATATAGATCCTTGAAAATGAGTTTGAGGACGTTATCCACCAAATTTTTGACCTCCATTTCCACCAAGGAGGAATACATTTTTGGAGAATTGTGAAATACCCCTCAAATTAATTTAAACAAAGAACTTTGAAATTGATTTTGAGGCCGACCGGATGGTAAACAAAAAAGTTTCATACAAACGTCTTAAAGTGCACCTTCATCACATGAGGTAACTACAGTGAAAATTTCAGCTTCCTAGCTCTTACGGTTTGGGCTGTGCCTTGATCACCAATCAGTCAGTCAGTCAAGACAAACAGTTTTATATATAGAGATCGAAATGAATTGTTTTTGTTAAAATGAATGAGTTTTGTTAAAAGTCCTTCGAAAAGCAGAAAAGTATTTCATGGAAGAACACAGCTTTTAATCTAATTGTTCCTTGTACAATCGCTCATATTTAGGGGTTCTAGTGGGGATTATAGTTTAGGCCTTGGTCTAAAGGTTCTTCCTCCTACATTAAACCATGTCGAGCGATATGTTAGATTTGTGACACAGTAGAATTTGCTTAAGATATTTAAGCCAAAAGAAATTCTCATTTTCGTAGAGTTCCTATGACAGACATTTGATCCAAGTGATTATTAACAGACGAATGTTTGTTATTCTAAATATATATTTTTCCATAAATTATTGCTTAAATATCTTTTGTTTTTATACAATTAGTCTAAGGCGCGTTCAACTTATGACGCTTTCAACCCAATTTTATATTTGTTACAATCGTTTTTTCTTAGTTATACAATTTATATCTACAACTACATTGAATTTAATTAAGCTTTTTTCTTTTCTTTTTTTAAAGGGAAGGTCCACGTTCTACTGCCAAAGGTTAAAGACTATATTTCTGGTTTTATATATATGGTTGCAAAAATCTACAAAAATTAATTACAATATTTTTCTTTTTTGCTTTGTAAACAAATATTCGAAATTTATAAATATCATAAATTATACATTTTACGGTTTGTTTTTCATTTCAAAAGTTGATTGTGCGACAATTTGTTGTCATTAAGTTTTTTTTTGTAAAGTTTGTAACATTATATAAATGCTAAATCAGCTTTGTAAAATTGCTTTGTTCAGTTATAACTAGCACAACAGTTGATATATATATATATATATATATATATATATATATATTTGTGTGTGTGCATATATATTATCTGGATCTGTTTGGCATTACGCAATTCGAAATAAGGCAGTTCTGTTCTCTGGATTCTATAATGGAAATGTTATCATCAGTTGCACGCCCTATAGGAAAAACTTGCACAATGATCTTAACTGTTTTGGCATTAAGTACATTATATATTACCAAAATAAAAATATAAAGAAAAAAATTAAAAATCCTCGGACTATGAACTGTTATTTTTTTTCTACTAAATACTCTCGACTTTAGATCTGCGAACTTTTGCGATTTTTCATCTATATAATACTCGCAAAAGGCACAAACAATTGCAATCGGGCGTTTACAGAGTTGGGTCTAGACAGTTATTGGTTTATATACGGGTAGTACCGACTAATAGCTAATACGCTCGCTCTCCATGGAGTCCATTGTCCGTTCTCATATTCCACATGATTGATATTCTTGTTGTTGTTGTTGTGTGGAATCCCTTTCTTTTACCTCTGGCGTTGTCAGCACCCACCCAGCCGGTTGCTCCTCCGTTTATCACCCTCGCCGTTTGATAACACGCTCGCGTTTAACAAAGAAGTATCACAAAAAAAATGTTGTTTTATAATTTTTTCTTTTCCATTTTTTGTTGTTATTGCTACGAAGAAAATTGCACAAAATGCATTTAGTGGCCATTGGGTGTGGGGATTCTTCATCAGCAGGCCTGCAAAGCAAAAAAAACAATATTATAATAATAAATAATATATGCACGTACTAGCACAGTGAAAACTCTATAAACGAACACCAATTTTTGGTTCCCATTAAATGTAAATTAAATTGAACATTGCTGGATTTGAGACGGCGACCGCGCGCCGCGTGTTAAGTGTTCTTCCAGTTGCAGCATATCTTTTAAGTTAAAGCTCGCATTAGCTGCGTGTTCGCTCAAGGGAGCTTCCACTGTAAATGGAAGGTTTAATCACTGCTGTTGTCAGCTGTTTAAGCGACGTACTGGAGCGTGGCCAGAGCTCAAACTACGAAGCCCCGACTGGGGCTGGGCACTTGATATTGTTTAGCACTTATAACCGAGAGAGCCGCGACCTGGTGCAGAGGCAGATCTTATCAGGGCCGGGGCCCAGGCAAATGGCTGCATAGCATGAAAGTAAGCGACGAATGCCACAAAATTAATTGCACATTTTGTACTAAACCTGGGTGTGGATCTTGAACACACACACAAAACACACACCTGACGTTATTTTTTGTCTCTCCAAGTGCATTGAACCCCTGGCTTGTCAGTCTGTTTAAAAAAGTTGTATCAAGTTTAACAACTTGACCCGCTGCTTATCGGCCACAAGAAGCCAAGAACTTTTCTAAGTTTTCCTTTCTCATAAAGTCTGCAATTGATAGAAATCAATAGAAATTGTTTAAAGGTGTTTTGCTTGAATCAAATTGAATGCCACGCTGTGATTAGCTGCACCTTGAGCTGATAAAAACCACCGCAACCGCCAGTCGGTGGTTGTCACCTTAGGCAGGTGCTAAATGTTAACGTTTCGGATTGCGATTGTCGTGAATCGCACATTAAATATGCCTGCGCCGAGCAATAACAGAAAATAAAAACCCAGCCAATGAGTCAACCGATCAAAATACCCCCCCTCCTCCTGCTCGTGCTCGAGTTCCTCCTTCTCCTCGTCAACTTACGTGCAGAGAGTGAATCGAGTTTGTCTCGTAGCCGCCCTTGCTCTGCATTTGGGTTGAGATCGCATTGAGGCGGTTCGCGGACAGCTCCACATCGGCGGATCCAATGTGACCGGTGTGTACGAAATTTGTCGGACTACCGATCATCGAGCGATCGATGCGCAGGCGTTGATGCGGTCGGCGGGAGGGTGAACGCTGCTGCTGGAAACAGCATGAGAACCACTGCAGCCAGATCTCCCCGGTGGATGCCATCTTCTGTGCCAGCTGCCCGGACGGCCGTTCAGTCTTATATTTATGATTATTGCAAATGGTGGTGGTGCTGCTGCTGTTCCCGGCGCTGCTGATGGGTTGAACACTGCCGCTTCCAGCCAGATTGACGTCCGTTCTCTTGCGTGAAACACGCGCTTGCCTGCAAAAAGAACATTAGATTGGTTCATAGATCATATGTATCTTAAAGACGTTCAGTGCGAGAAGAAGGGGGATTTATTGCAAACAGATTGTGCCCAAAGCAAAGGAAATGTCCTAGATCCAAGGTCCAAGCTGTCCGTTAATAGAGCGTTCACTGTATTTAAATGTTGTTCTCGATCTGCTCTAGTTGTTGGCATATTTTCACATGGCCACGCACAATACACAATACCTCAATCCCGCACACAACACCTCCAAAATGCTATTCGACAGATTCCCCCGAGACGAACCTGGGCAAATGCCAGAACCACAATACGATATGCGAGACTCAGCACACTTTTTTACTGTTTGTATAGCCTCGGGGGTAACCAGGCAGAGTTGGAAATAAAAGCAACAATTAATTGGCACTTTTGTGTAATTAAAATCGAAGGAAAGACATAAAGCGTAGACAGAAACAGAAGAAGAAACATTGTAAGCAGAATACAATAAAAGAAAAGACTGAAAAGACCTACTTGGGCACTGGGCGAGCTGCATTTGCTTTTATCATTGACATCGTGAATATCATATTGCGGTTTGTTTCTTTAGCTCTTTCGATTCAGCTGAATCAATAAATATTATGATTCTTCAGCTGCGCCGACAAAGCGCAGCGTGATTCAATCCAAGGGCTAAGTTTCAGTTAAATAATTTATGCGAAATAAAATAAATATTTCATTGGGTATTTTGCTTGCAAAGTTTTTAAAAGTACTTTTGGCAGCTTTACAATACTAGTTCGTCCTTCTTTAACATTCTTGCATTCAAGCAGACCAGCATACTGTGCTTGTTTTTGATTGAATGACAGACTGTCTGTCAAACTGCTGTCGCCTGGCTAAACCGACAGTTTTCCACGCCACAAACTTCTTGTGCTTTCTACGCAAGCTGCACGCACACACACGCACATAACGTGTATCATGCACTCTCCACTGTTATTGTTGTTGTTTTTTTTTTCTGTTATTTTCAGCCGGTGTTTTATATTTTGTCTGCTTCTGCCATTTTCTTGAGCAATTAAAGCTGCTCGAGCGTCTTTAATGCGCAGTGAAAACGAAATGAAAGTGGTAGACGGAGACGGTTTGCGAGCTGGAGCTGGAGTTAAGTTCCTCGTAATAGTGTGTGGGCCATTGTGTACATGTACATATGTATGTATGTATGTACATACATGCAGCAAGCGCTATCTTTCAAATCGTAGCGCGTGTCACAACAACAACAACAACAACAATAACAGCACGTAACTACAGGAACTGAATGCGCTAAAGCGTTTCAATTTTTGTGTGTCAAAAGGTTACCAAAGTGAGAGATGCTAAAGAGATAAAGTATGCGCCAGTCAAACGCATACTCAAACACATGCATATGTGTGTGTTAGTTCATGCTTTGGTTTTCCACGTCAGCCGGCGTAATTAATGTGCTGGAAATCGAGCTGCTGCCTTTATCAAGCTATCAAGCTGTGTCCGCAGCGCATAGAAAACGAAAGCTCAGACACCGTTAATTATCAATAAAGCGCACGCACTTATGCACTAAATGTGCGCGAGAGAGAGGGCAACAGTAAAGACCACCATGCAAATTACTTTGCAATAATATCATAAACAAATGGATTTCCAATGAGCTTGTGCCAGCGTCTGTTTTCGCTGTTGTTGCTGTTGTTTTCTGGCAAATGTTTATACATTTGTATTTCGTATTTTTGTATGTTAATTTTACACTCGCTGACATCATCAGATCGGCCACCAGCCGGCAACATAGAGGCGAGGTTATTGAATTTCGCTCTCCCCACCAAAAAAAAAAAAAAAGAAAGAATAATGCTTAACAGTAATTACCTTTACATACATATACAAAAAATACATGTTCTTTTAAGACGATTAACTGCATAACAACTTTTTGAAGATTTTGTTAAGGTAAAGGTTAACTGGAAACTCTGTTATTCTCAGCTATCTTATAGATAACTTGGACTTTTTTAGAGGTTCTCATTTATAATTGATTTAGTATTTTTTTTTTTTTTTTGGCAAATCTGAGAGCTAGTTAAGATGTGTTAAGGTAATTCGAAAATTGGTTTCATCTAATTTTTTTAGGTCGACAGTTGGCAACTCTGTAAAAGTCAAGAAACTGCGTCTCGTAGAAAAATAATAAACTACTCTATGCATAGTGCTGTTAAATTAAATGTATCTCAAAAACAGCTACAGTTTAGGCTTCATAGTGGATGGCGCTTACAAACATTGACCTGCATAATCCACCACTTTTTGCATAATCGGGGGAAGCAGCAGTGCCTTTCTTCTTTTTCCTATTTCTATTTTATGGCCGCATTTGGCAATTTGAATGTGACCCACATAACGCCCGAAGACAATTCACACGCGTCAAAGACAGAAACAGCATTAACCAGCCACCACCAAAATGAAGACATTTATTTTGCACAACGGAAATGAAAAATGGTTGACAGCGACTGCAATCCAAATTATGTACATATGTATGTGTGCACGATACAATATTACATCATTTGGTGTTGGTCAAACAACGAGAGAGGCGAAAAGAAAGGAAGGGCATTAAGTATGCACGATACAACCAGTTTTGCATGCATATCAAACAAGTCGCGCGGCGCAAGGTTCAAGAAACCGATTAACGATGACAAAATCAGCGCTTAATTCGATAGCTCAAATCAGTATGGTTATTCATGATAAAAGAACGGTTTTACAATTTATTTGAAAAACATTCCATTTATGTTACATTTGCGTCTGGTTTCACAATTATCACTAGAGAACATTCACTGCACTCGACAATCATTTCACATGCCCTCAGCTGCTCTCTTTGTGACTCATCGTCCAACAAGTATTGTCCGCCGCAGCGACAATTGTACGCATAGGCCCAGCTCAAAGTTGTCGTCTCTTTGTCTGCGTCGGTTGCACTCTGCTCGCTGCCCTCCTCCTCTGCCATCATTTCAATTCGAGTGCTGTGCATGTCGCTTAACGTAATGCTGGCATAGATATTGCTGTGTGTTTCAAATTTTGTCAGCAATAATTCGGCATCATATTGTTTACGCTTTGTGGGATCTTTGAGCGTATTCCAGGCCTCGTTTATCGCATTGAAATTGCTGTCGCTCTCCCGATTTGGGTCGCTCTCATTCGCGTTTACAGTTACTGCTCGCTCTTGTTGTTGTAATTTATCGGGATGACATTGTAGTATTAATTGCTTATAATTGCGCTTAAGCTCTTCAAATGTTGCTGTTGGGCTCGCATTGAGCAGTTCATAGAAGTTCAAGTTGGACATCTGCAATATGAAACGAAATAAAAAACCTTTTATACATGAATATTTGTAATACTTACATTTAGATTTTAATAATTTAGCTTGTTGTTTCACATGTTTCTAGCCGTAGATCAGCAGCGCGGCAATTTTTAACGTTTGCCAGCACTGGCATTGCGCTGAACAGCTGTTTGTTGTTTAGTTTTTGATTCTGCTTTGCCCGTGACACTCTAATTGGAATTTTATAAATTCCATAAAAAGCTATCTGCACCCAAAACCCGCAAACACCCATACACATGTATGTATGTATAGATGTGAGAGTCATCATTTTCCTTTGTGGCTGCGGAAGTCGCAACAAAAAAGGAGTGCTCGTTGCTAGGCGCTGATAAAACTGAACACGCATTTCTTTATATCGAAGTCATAAAGAATATTAATACATTTTTCATTTCTTTTTTTATATTGGCCTTTGCATGTCGGTTAAACATAATTCAGCAAATCTCATTAGTACCGTTATGAGTGTTCGCCTATTAAGTTGTCACTGGCAACCACACACACACACACACACACACACACACACACACACGCACACACACACACACACACACACACACAACCATATGCCGAATTTTGTCGCGAAAAAGTAGAACATTCAAATTGTCAAAAAGCAAGAGTCAAGCGGCAATTGCACTTGGAGAGAGGAAACAAGGTTAAGAAACTGGTTCGGCAACAAAAACAAACCGACAAAACACATAAAATACATATGAAGAGCGCTGAAAAGAAAAACAAGTAAATCGTCCGAAGCATGCATTGACCCAATTTAAAAATTAGCAAAAGGCATAAAAAGAAGTTAACCACAAGACGGATGAAAACTTGCGCCTCCGAAAATAGGGGGAAAGGCAAAATGTCAAGAGACAGGCAGGCAGGCTCAAGGGAGTGTGTGTGTGTGTGAGTGAGCGAGACGGGGTTATATGAACAATGTTTTTATGTGAATTGCATTTAATTAAACGACCTGAATTAATTATTATGCAAAGCAACAAAGTCGGCACACACACATGTCCATTCGCATGTTAGTTCGTTAGAAAAATCCAAACTAAAATAAAATTTGTATGCCCATGCACAACCTTCCCCCGGCCTCGTACCATTACATTATAATAAAATAAACTTGCCTTATAAGGTGTTGACTTTTTCCTGTCGACAATACAAACGTCGACGTTCTGCCACTGTCGGTGCTGCTGTTGATCCCGTTGCGTTATTGCTTATTTGTAGCTATGATTTTTGGGGCAAATCGAGAGGCAGAATCAGGGCACAAACACACACACACATAAAACTTTACTTTGGATCTTAGTGTGCTTAACACACGTTACATTTGCATTGCCACTGCCTAGCCGCACGTTTTCAATACGCTTTTATTTATATTTTCGATTCATTTAGTTTTAGTGTAAACAAATTGGCACCGCAAGTGGCAAACGATCCGCTTTGACCGCCGTCAGAAATACACCTAAGAATAAATCTTTTAGCAGTGTGACGGCACACAGAAAGCGCACAAATACTTCCAAACGCGACACAACCAACAATCGATTATACGATTGTGAACTTATCGCGATAGCATTCCTGTAGCAATTAGCATTTGTCTGCGTGCACTTGCCCAAAGCAACTCTGCCGTGTGACGCCTGAGCTGTCAAAGCGATTTCCGCTTTCTTTCCGTGCGGTTCTTAAACATGACTGGTTTAACGAACAGGGTAAGTGCCATAATTTTGGCAAATAAAACCATGTTGGCGTGAAGGGACAATATAACAAATGTGTACAAAACATTAATTAAACCATGTGCTAACGAAAAATGTGCATTATTGTTGATTTTAACAGCACTGGAACGTTGTTTTGAGTGCGCCAAAGTTGTTTCGTGTACACGTGCCGAAAAGCAGCCAATAAAATGACAGTCGCGGAAGTGCCTGTAAAAATGTATTAATACATGTGTCCAAGGCTTACTAATTGTGTCAAATGCATTCTTCAAATGCATTTATTATAAATTATTTATTTATCGCATTACACACATTTGTTTATGCCTTCTCGCTCAATCTAACCTCATTTTTTGGGAGAAAAATTTAACTAATTGTTTTTCATCTTAATATTCAGACCGTTGTTATTGATGGACGCGGCCATTTGCTTGGCCGCCTGGCCTCCGTGGTTGCTAAGTACCTGTTGCAGGGCGGCAAGGTGGCTGTGGTCCGCTGCGAGGAGCTGAACCTTTCTGGTCACTTCTACAGAAACAAAATTAAGTTTTTGGCCTATTTGCGCAAACGCTGCAACGTAAACCCGGCTCGTGGCCCCTTCCACTTCCGTGCCCCGTCCAGGATATTCTACAAGGCTGTGCGAGGTGCGTTTCGATGATTTGGTCTGTCCAGTACCTAGTTTGTTGTTTACCATGATGTGCAAACCTTATTACCTACATTATTTGAACGTAATGAAAACCATGTAAACAAAACATAACTGAGTGCAGGCAACAAAGCGATAAGCATTTAAAATTTAATTTAGCTGTATATATTTACTAATTGTTCTTATTTTACATTGCAGGTACGTTTATCTAGCTTGGTTTTGGTCAGCTGCAGCTGCTAGCATGATGATTGATATATTCTTACCTACATTATTTGAACGAGAAATCGTGTAACAAACCTTCAACTGATTCAGCCAACTGGATTACCTCTCTATATTTAATGTCATTTGAAATGTTCACTTAACGGTATTTTATTGCTTTACAGGCATGATCCCACACAAGACCAAGCGTGGCCAGGCTGCCCTCGCTCGTCTGCGCGTCTTCGATGGTATTCCATCGCCTTACGACAAGCGCCGTCGTGTTGTTGTCCCCATTGCAATGCGTGTGCTGACCCTGCGCTCCGATCGCAAATACTGCATGGTTGGACGTCTGTCGCACGAGGTTGGCTGGCATTATCAGGATGTGATCAAGAGCTTGGAGCGCAAGCGCAAGGCCAAGCTGCATGTCACTCTTAAGCACAACAGAGAGATGAAGAAGTTGACGGCGAAGGCGCGCGAGAACATTGCCAAGGCTGCTGAGCCCTTCAACAAGATCATCAAATCCTACGGCTACGAGGCCTAAGCAGTGCCCGACCACACAACAATACGAGCAGCATAATCGTAGCGGTTTTTTTAAAAAGAGAATAAAACAACATCTAAGTTTAAAAAGCCCTAGCAGTTTGTTTAATAATATAGGGTATTCAAATCCAAGGGCGTGCAGGATTTCAACTGCAAAGCGTTGCACAGCTGTTCGGAGAAAGCTTTTGCAGCAGCAGCTGTGCTTCGATGACCTTATCGTTTTTTCCAGCTAAAGTTATCGTAATCGATCATTTCGGCTGACATTTTGTGTTTCGCATCTCGCCATGGCAACCTTCAAGGACAAAGTAATTATCGTAACAGGCGCCAGCTCCGGCATAGGAGCAGCTGCCGCCGTTCATCTGGCCAGCCTGGGCGGACTGCTGGTAATTGTGGGTCGAAATGAGGTGAAATTAAAGGAAACAGCGGACAATATTCTGGCTGCAGGCGGCGTTGCTGCGCTGCAGCTGAAAGCTGATATGGACAAGGAGGCGGATGTGGTGCGCATTGTGGCAGCAACGCTGGCCAAGCACGGACGCATCGATGTGCTGGTCAATAATGCAGGCATACTGGAGCGAGGCACCATTGAGACAACAAGTCTGGCCCAATACGATCGCGTGATGAACACCAATGTGCGTGCGCTCTACCAATTGACCATGCTGGCTACCCCGGAGCTGGTCAAGACCAAGGGCAGCATTGTAAATGTATCCAGCGTGAATGGCATACGTTCTTTTCCCGGCGTGCTGGCCTATAATGTTTCCAAGGCAGCCGTGGATCAATTTACGCGCTGCGTCGCCCTGGAGCTGGCGTCCAAGGGTGTGCGCGTGAACTCTGTGAACCCGGGGGTAATTGTAACCGAAATACATAAGCGCGGCGGCATGGACGAGGCTACTTATCAACAGTTCCTGGAACACTCAAAGACCACACATGCTCTGGGTCGTGCCGGCAATGTGGAGGAGGTGGCGAAAGCGATTGCTTTTTTGGCCAGCGATGCGGCTAGCTTCACGACGGGCGTCAGCCTGGCCGTAGATGGCGGCCGGCATGTCATGTGCCCGCGCTAAAAAGTAAAAAACAAACGCAAATCTGTGTATGGACACCGCTGGCATTTAATCAAAAATAAATAATAATCGTGATAAACAGCTCAATTAGCGACATTAATCGCAATTCGAATTTCACAACTTCGAATTATCGATTTTATTTGCTATCGAAGAAATCCCAATTTGACTTATTTGCGTCAAATTAGCGGCGGTGACTTAGCGTCGATTTGTGGTACTTGGTGCCGGAATAGGAATCGGTCACTTTATAATGCATTTATTTATGTTTTTAAGCACGAAGCCAAATAAATTTAAATGCAAAATTGCAAAAACTAAATTATTTACTGTCTGCATTCATTTTTTTTAAATTTTAATTTATAATATGGGTAAACCAATGGGTTGAAAAATTAGGTTTCCACCATTCTTTAAATATCCTAATTTAGGGATTATGGCCCCGAAAATCGCATATACACGATTGAAGCCTATAGTTTCACCTAACCAAAAATTATAAAAAAAGATCAGCCCGTTTTGAAGATATTTAAATGACCGTACAAAATTACCCTTGCACTTAAACCCTAATATCTTTTTTCAGAATGATGGCCCTCAATGCACGGTATACCAACTTGAAGATACATTTTTAAGGAAGCCGATCAGCCAGTTTATTAGTAAAATAACAAAATGTAAACACATTTCATGTGGCTTATTCAAAAGGCCTATCGAACTACTAGCTCCAACGGGAGCAGAGCCACTGCTGGGAATCAGTGTTGAATAATTTGTGTGTGTTGAGCGGGAACAAGTTAATTTAAATTATTTTATATATGAAAGAATTAACAACTGTAAAATAATTTGCTTTTTACAATATGTTTTATGTTTGTCTTTGGTGCATTTATGCATTTATACAAAGTATTATAACAAAAAGGTGGCATTATTTCTACAAATTTCAATCTATATAAATTGAGTTCTTCGGTAATGGTCCTAAATGCACGGCAGTTTAATATATAGACCGTGAATTATCCATCATTTTGCTTTTTGAATCAAGAAAATCGTTCCGCCAGTTTTTAAGAAATTCTCGTTGGGTAAAAAGGGTATATTGTATTTGTGCGAAAGCCAAATGTATGAAACAGGCAGAAGGAAGCATCTCCGACCCCATTAAGTATATATTATTCTTGATCAGCATCAATAGCCGAGTCGATTTAGCAATGTCCGTCTGTCCGTCCGTCAGTATGTATGAACACAAGGATCTCAGAACCTATAAAAGCTAGAGACTTGAAATTTAGCTGTAGGTCCTCCTATTGCCTGCGCAGATCGAGTTTGTTTCCGATAATCGATAACTTACTCCGTTTCCAAGCAATCGATAAAAATCGATATCGAAATCCTTTTTTTTTTAGGCAAATTGGGTATATAATAAGAGCTAGAGTCGCCAAAAGTGATATGTTTATCCTAGAATACTAAGTATATATATATCAAGTATATTTCATTTTATACTCGGCCTTTTAAGCTATGTACGCTTAACAACAAGCGCAGCCATTTGGCCAGAACAAGAAGAACAACATGGCTAGTGGAAAGCTGTTGCTCGAGAAATGCATCTATACGAAGCGCCATTTTGTCTTTGTGCGCCATCGTCTCTTTAACTTATGTAAACAATCGGTGTGATCGAGCATTCGATTTTAATTAACTACATTAACTAATTTATCTGAACATATACTAATTTATTTCATAAATAATCATCATCTTTGTCAACTTGCAGCGCACGAGCACCACAGCCATTGACACTTGCCATACAATAGCGCTGCCAAATTGTCTACAGAGAAGCTTAGCAGCAACCCTCGTCCCTTCATTGATGTGATCGAGGATGAGGTGGATCTACACCATCAAAAGTGAATGCGATAGTAGGCTGTAAGTGCAATAGAGGAGGCTCGGAAAAGGCTGATAGCGATGAGTAGGGCTCTACTGTAGATAAGGTAATTACAATTTACTGATAGTTTAGCTATTAGCTGAAGAAAACACTATTTGCACGAAAATATATGTTACAATCTAAAATATTTAAAGTTCGTAAGGATCTAAGGCATCCAGTGAATGCCTGCACAAAATGGTATCCAGCTACATAAAATTAATCATATAAGCTTTTAATTAACTGTGTTGAATTGCATAGAATTTAACCTTATTATACACTGAACCCATTGAAAATGGGTACAAGGGTATATTGTATATGTGCGAAAGCCAAATGTATGAAACAGGCAGAAGGAAGTACCTCCGACCCCATAAAGTATATATATTCTTGATCAGCATCAATAGCCGAGTCGATTTAGCCATGTCCGTCTGTCCGTCCGTCCGTCCGTATGTATGAACACAAGGATCTCAGAACCTATAAGAGCTAGAGACTTGAAATTTTTAGTTGTAGATGCTCCTAGTTCCCGCGCAGATCGAGTTTGTTTCCGATAATCGTTAACTTCCTCCGTTTCCAAGCAATCGATTAAAATCTATATCGATATCCTGTTTTTAAGGCAATTTTGGTAAATAATAAGAGCTAGAGTCACCAAACTTGACATATAGCTTCTAAAATAGAATATATATATACATATATATATATTTGATGTTGGAAGAACAGGGTTCAGGGTATCCCCTAGTCGGGAGCTCTCGATTAGAACCTCTTACTTGTTTTTTAATTATTTACTTTATTTATTTACTTTGCCATCACAATGTCAAAGGTCATTGCGTACACTACTCCGCGCTGGAACCCTATTACAAGAGTTAACTTAAGGATCACAACATCGTGACCGTTTGTGTGACTGGTGAGTGTTTATCAATACTTTTACTTTTGCTTTTACATAGAAATATATGTATTCTACCTTAATATCTTTCAAAGGTGATCAAACTAAACAGGCGTACATGGAAGGCCAGTGCATGGCCCTGGTGCGAGATAATTGTCGCATACCCACCAAGGATGCACCCGAGTGATCAATAATCGAGTGATAAGTAATATGTGCCGGATGTTTTCTATAATATTTATATAAAAGATACCCTACTATGTTCAGATAAGTGATTGTAAAAGTGATTCGTTCCTTAAAAACATAACACTATTATATATGTAGAATCTGGCTAGATTTTGTTCTCAAAGTATATCATGTTAGGCTCAAATCTAACTTTTGTTATTTGATAAAGCCGCACGAGACGCAGGGTATTCACAAATAAGTACCTTAGGGGTTTCCCCCCTTAGATAACATTTTCATAAAGAATGCATTAAAAACAAATACCTGAGTATATTTCAGACGAAAAACCATTGTACTACGATATTGAAATGTAATATAATCTGTTAACAAAGATGTAGATAAAAAAGATGCTGCCTTTAAATCAATTGTTGGGCTTTTGAAACGAGTTTATTGTATTTCGCACCTTCTCTTTATTTTAATAATGAATAAATTTATTTGCTTGAACAACATTTATTGAAATCTTCAGCTATTATATTTTCAATTGTTACACAAGGAATTCCAATAACTTTTTTTGACTTTGCTTTAAGCATATATGCGTATATATATAGACATCAAAACTGTCAAATTTAATTTATTATATTTGTATTTTTGGCACATTTATATATTGTATGCTTGTGAATGTGTTTCAAACAAATTAATGTCAAATTCAAATGACCAGTTTTGTTCTCCAATTAGCGAGCTAATGGGTTTGTCTATAAGTAATTCACCGGTACGTGGGGAAATTGTACACAAACACATACACTCAGATATTAATATATTTAAATATTTTGATTATGTTTATAACATTTCAATTGTAAATATAAGTGCATTAAAAAAAACATAAGAAAAACTGTAAACAAGTTACTTGAAGTGAGATTAATTGAGCTTGAATCAATTGAATTTAAAATCTTTTTAACATAATTACAGAATAATTCAGTCGGGTGCGTTTCTCAATTATATATCACATTCCAAATATCCGACACAGCTTTAACTTTAATTTGCATTCAGCATTTGCCAAATGTAAATCTTCTTAGCTTACAATTTTTCATCTATTCGTGACAATTTTCTTTTATTTGTTGCTCGTTCTAACTATCCTACAATTGAGTTAAAATATTTAACTATATAAAAATTATTTTTGAACTAGATAACTGATCAAATGAGGAATAGAATGTGTAGTATAGTGTATATTAGGAATATTGTAATTTTCAATATGATAAACATTTTTAAATAATAATTTGTTTATGTTTTATTATACCCTGAACCCATTTAAAATGGGTATAAGGGTATATTGTATTTGTGCGAAAGCCAAATGTATGAAACAGGCAGAAGAAAGCATCTCCGACCCCATACAGTATATATATTCTCGATCAGCATCAATAGCCGAGTCGATTTAGCAATGTCCGTCTGTCCGTCCTTCCGTATGTATGAACGCAAGGATCTCAGAACCTATAAGAGCTAGAGACTTGAAATTGGATCTAGATGCTCCTAGTTCCCGCGCAGATCGAGTTTGTTTTCGATAATCGATAACTTACTCCGTTTCCAAGCAATCGATTAAATTCGATATCGATATCGATTGGGAAATTTTGGTAAATAATAAGAGCTAGAGTCACCAAACTTGACATATAGCTTCTAAAATAGAATATATATATGCATATATATATATTTGATGTTGGAAGAAGAGGGTTCAGGGTATCCCCTAGTCGGGAGCTCCCGACTAGAACCTCTTACGTGCTTACTGTATATTTGCGACAAAAATGCACTTTTAAAGTGGTTTAGCTCTTGATTACTTTCAAAGTTGGATGGTTTTAAGTTGTTTGGACTTAGTTTAAGAAAAATACAATTAGTTAGGGAAGGCGCTGTCATCACCAAACATTTAGATCCCGTTGCGGGGATACTCGCCACAATTCTTGATATAGGTGCACATCGCGGACCGTCCAGTTGGATTGCTCGTGCCGGCTATCTTGTCCAGCACATCGATCCCATCCACAACGAAGCCAAATATGGCCGCAAAGGGGAGCCTCTCATAGAGCACCATGCGAAACTGGCTGTTCACAAGTCTACACTTCTGTCCATGTCGCATGCCCACTGCGCCGCGCTTCGCGGGCAACCCAGTGTAATACTCAAGGGCGGCATAGGCGCCACGCCCATTGTGTAGCTGAAAGTCGTCAGTGATAATGCTCTCCTCGCCCCAGGCCTGGAATACGGAGCAGCCCCTATAGCTAAAGCCACGCTCGTGCAGGATTAGGGCGCGAAATTTCTCGGCCATGCGCGGTGCTACATCGTTGCGCACCTCGATGAGCACACGACCCGCTGGCTTGCTCATCATGACCATGTCCAGATAGTAGATGGGATTGCCCAAGGATATAGAACGACGGGTTAGCCCTATTGCGGCTGCGGCTGCGGGTGCAACTGGTCCTGGGATGGCTAAAACTGCGCCTGGGGCGGCTGCTGCAGCTGTATCCGGCACCGAATCAAATGGCGGCTGGCGCAGCGACATGAGCCGGCGATGCAGTTGCTCAATGTCCAGCAGCTGGAGACGACACTCGCGATAAATGTACAGCATCTGCTTGAGGAATTTGGTGCACAGCTCCTGCAGCTGTTGCCCTCGTGCTGTATCTGCAGCCTGGCGTGCAGCCACAAGTCGCGCATGTGGCATATGCGTCCAGTTGGGGCATGCTGCAGCAATTGCTGCTGCACATGCTGCTGCACCATGTCGCAGACGTCGGAGAGTTGGCGCAACATAGAAAAATCGCCCGCGGCCAGAACCCTGGCATACGTAATGCGCTCCTCAATGATGCTCAGCTGCTGTCAGAGCAGGCAACGCAACATGTCGCACATGTGCAGCTGACGCGTCATCTGATGTGCAAGATGCTCGACATCCACGATGCAGGTGTGGCACCATGTCGTATTGGGCATGGCATGAGCATGGCAATGCTCGTTGGCGCCGCGCAGTTGCCTATCCAAGCCCACCTCATTCAACCTGTTGGGGCAGGCTGAGTTGGTCGGATTGCTGCTAGTCGGCTGCGATTGCAACATGGCCATGCCCAGCTGCAAAGCCGGCAGCTGCTGCACCATAAACAGCAAGCCCTCATTGGTGGGCAGCGAACCAAACCCCAGCAGCGGCGTCTCCCTTCCACAAGCGTCGACACAAGCTGCAGCTGAGCAGCGTCTCCAGTTGCTGGGGTACACCCATGTGTTGGCTAGAGAGGCAGACAGAAAGCGGGGAAAACAAGAGAAAAGAAGACTAATAGTTTCAAGAGCACAGCTAATGTCAATTAATTGGACTGATAACTGCCTCCCACAAGCAAACCCAGCCAGGCAAAATGAGTCGATGATTTATAGCAATATTTCTATGTAATTTTGTTTAAGACAGCTGGCAAGGGATTATTTCCTATTGTTGGTATATTATAATAAACTAGGCTAAGACAATGCAGTGCATGAGTGCACACAGGACGGGGTCTTCTAAATGGATTCGTAGTTCTGTTGTTTATAATATATTGTGAAAGCTTAACACAGTGCTGATTTTGTATGTAGATCCTATTTGAATTGAATAATTAAACGGTGTTTAAATTTGTTTATTAAAAAATACACTCGAAGCCCGTTTATCGGAAACTCTATTAACCAGTCACACCTGTTAACAGGTGTGAATGTATTGCCTCATTAATCGTGATTTACCTCTTTCGCATAATAGAGGTGATTGCCGAAATAAGACGAACCGCAGAAAAAACTACCTTATCTTGTCAGATATACAATCGACAATACCCCTTTTGCAACGTATACTAACAGTTAAGGATCTAGGCCTAGACCTGGATCTAGATACCATCGTTAATGAGGCAAAAGGTGTACGATGGTCTTTTTATAACAAAACTTCTGTACATCTCTCTTGTTTGCCCTATCATTAATTACTGCTCTTGCATCTGGTCTTCGCAGTATAACAATATCCAGGATCGTATTGAATCTGTTCAGAAGCAATTTCTGCTTTTTGAGTTACGAGGTTTAAATTGGGACCCTAATCTTCGGTTGCCATCCTATTCCAGCAGACTGCTTCCGTCGTTAACCAACCGTAGGACGATTCTCGGTGTTGTCCTTCTACATAAGTTGATTATTGGCAACATAGATTCTCCTTTTCTGCTAGGGCGTCTTCAATTCTCTGTTCGGGCTAGACCGACCAGAAATTATCGCCCCTTATTCCTATCTACGTGCACAACAGACTACGCTATGCACAATCCTTTTCGCGTGCTATGTAAAAATTATAATAGTTTGCATCACGTTTTCTCAACCGAACTTTCTCTACCCCTAATAAAATCGTTGCTTTCAGGATACCTTCGGGAAGTCACTGACCATTCCCAGCTATGAGCAGTGGCATAGTTTGCCGGACAAGATTAACCAAGATACCTTTGGTCCTAAATGTAGTCTTTGGGTTCTACAAGAATATGGTCAGAAATAAATGGAATTGGCCAGGACATTGGCACAAAACCGTACGATACGCTGGAATAATTTCCTGTTGTGGTCTTTCTTTTATCGACAACGGCGTTTTTTGAGAAATAATCATTTTTTTTACCATATTTCAAGTCGTTTTCTTTTTAGGAAACTTAATTTAATAAACTCATTTCGAGGCAAATTTCTCTCTTGACCAAGGCAAGAAAATATCTAAGAACTTGAAAAATGCCCAAGTGATTCAAGTAAAAGGTCATACTCCTCATTAAATCTGTTCCATATTAATATCTGTCTATTTTTGGCTAGCGGCAATTTATGTACTCCAATATATTTTTCATATTTGTGTTGTTAGAGTACTAATATAGCCAAAGCCATAAATACTACCCAAAATATTAATATAGATAACTAACCTAACAGTAAACGAGCATTATTCCAAGTCTTGAGGAAAAATTTCATTCATATAAACAGACAGACGGACGAGCGCACATTGCGAAAAATTCCCCTAGTGAGCAAGAAAACAATAGTAACAAGTAAGAGGTTCTAGTCTGGAGCTCCCGACTAGGGGATACCCTGAACCCTCTTCTTCCAACATCAAATGCATATATATATTCTATTTTAGAAGCTATATGTCAAGTTTGGTGACTCTAGCTCTTATTATTTACCAAAATCGCCCAAAAACAGGATATCGATATCGATATTTATCGATTGCTTGGAAACGGATTAAGTTATCGATTATCGGAAACAAACTCGATCTGCGCGGGAACTAGAAGCATCTACATCTAAAATTCCAAGTCTCTAGCTCTGAGATCCTTGCGTTCATACATACGGACGGACGGACAGACAGACAGACGGACATGGCTAGATCGACTCGGCTATTGATGCTGATCAAGAATATATATACTTTATGGGGTCGGAGAAGCTTCCTTCTGCCTGTTACATACACTTGGATTTTGCACAAATACAATATAGCCTTATACCCATTTTTAATGGGTTCAGGGTATAATAAAATTATTGACAAAAAAAAATTATTGAAATTGGAAAAGTTTAAATTAGTTTTTAGTAAAAATGTCATCATTTGTGACACTTTTGTTACCGTCAATATTTATATTAGTAAATGCTTTAAATTTAAATTGAAGTTTAATGTAATGTAATTTGCAAAAAGGGTATAAAGATTTGAGTGAATGTATGTGACAGGCAGAAGAAAGTATTTACGAAACCATAAACTATGTATATTTTTACCTAGTATCAATTGTCGAGTTAATATTGACATATTCGTCTAATTGTCTGGCAGTCTGTCTGAACACGTCGATCAGGAAAACAAAAGGAGCTAGAGACATACAATTTTGAACGTAGGTCCTCCTCAAGTCATCGATAGGGCAAGTGCAGGCAAGTGCCCTGTTTCCATGATTTCGATAAAAACTAAGATTTTGAGGGCTTGTGACAAAATATTGATTTATAAACTTCCTATAGTATGCATAGATCCAGAACATGCCACTTTTCGGATAACTCCCTTCGTTTTCCAAAAGTGAAATAAAAGAACCCAGTTTTAGAGGTATAGTCCTGGGCTTTGGTATTTACACATATTTTGATGCCATATTCATGCTCCTCAACAATGAAATTGTGGGCAGATCGGCGCGGTATTGAGGGTATCTCCTAGTCGTGGACTCCCGACTAGAGTAGCCTTACTTGTGTTTGTTTGTTATACTTAAATATCTAAAAAGGATTTATGCGCATGAGCTTTGTGCGTTCATCAAGTAATATTTTAATATATCTCTATATATATAACTGTTTGTCCTGATTGACTGACTGACTGACTAAATGACTGACTGATTGGTGATCAAGGCACAGCCCAAACCGTAAGAGGTAGGAAGCAGAAATTTGACACTGTAGTTACCTTATGTGATGAAGGTGCACTTTAAGACGGGGTTTCAGAAAATTCTATTCGCAAGTGTGGAAAAATCGCGAAAAACGTTTGTATGAAACTTTTTTGTTTACCATCCGATCGGCCTCAAACTCAATTTAAAGTTATTGGTTCAAATTCATTTCAGGGATGTTTCACACTGTTCGAAAAATGTATTCCTTCTTGGTGAAAATGGGGCTTAAAGATTTGGTGGATGACGTTTTGCGCTCAAATTCATTTTCGAAGATTTATATGAAAAATCATTTGAGACGTGTTTCACATTTTTCGCAGAATGAAAGCATCCTCGGTAGGAATGCAATTCAAAGACTTTATTGGTGAAGTTTTAAGTTTAGTCAGATTTGTTTCAATTTTATTTTCAGAGCTCTACATAAGAATTTAATAAATACGTGTTTCGGCGATTTGGGAAATTCCACTCGCAACAGTGGTAAATTGGCGGAAAACGTTTGAATGAAAGTGGTTTGTTTACCGCCCGATCAGTTTCAAAATTATATTCAAAGCTTTGTAGAACATTGATTTTATAACATAAGTACCACAGGCAAGGCCGGACTATACCCGCTAGTTATATATAAACCGATTGGATTATTAGTTTTACAAAATATGTTGCCACTTAGAGTATTTATATTTCATACCAAAAGCGTGTGTCCAAATTTGAAGAAGACGAAAAAAAAACCAAAATGTTTTAAGCAATTAACATGACTGATTTTTTTTGTCAAAGATTTGATCATTTTCAATATGCGATTACCGGCTTTGACTGATGATTTGTAGTTTTCAATAACGTTTACCGTTTGCACAAACGTTAGTTCCAGGAATTCGTCAATCTGCTGTCCATTAGAATCCTTGAATTGTGTATTTGCCGGACTGAGCTCATAAGTTGCATATCGTGTTCACATAAACGGATTCGACTTGTTTCGCATGCGCTGCCATGTATCAAGCATCAAGCTGCATTTTCATTAGACACAACGTGGGCGGTTTAAGGGTGGTTTTCTATGCGAGCAAATTCTAATTGGCTAGGGCCAGAGCCGAGGGAATTGCCATTTATAAATACTATATATTTGCCCCACCCACAGAACTCAATGGAATTCAATTGACTTACTCAGTGGATGTCCATGCTATACATATACTCAACATAGTCAAGCTAAAAACAATTGAATTGTGAGCATAAAAAACTAATGCCATTGTTAACAACCATTAGGGGTTAACATAAAGCTATATGCCTGATTATAACCCAATCGACTTTAAACTCATTTTTATACCCTGAACCCATTAAAAATGGGTATAAGGCTATATTGTATTTGTGCAAAATCCAAATGTATGTAACAGGCAGAAGGAAGCATCTCCGAACCCATAAAGTATATATATTCTTGATCAGCATCAATAACCGAGTCGATCTAGCCATGACCGTCTGTCTGTCCGTCCGTCCGTCCGTATGTATGAACGCAAGGATCTCAGAGCTAGAGACTTGAAATTTTAGATGTAGATGCTCCTCCTAGTTCCCGCGCAGATCGAGTTTGTTTCCGATTATCGATAACTTACTCCGTTTCCAAGCAATCGATAAAAATCGATATCGATATCCTGTTTTTTGGGAAATTTTGGTAAATAATAAGAGCTAGAGTCACCAAACTTGACATATAGCTTCTAAATAGAATATATATATGTATATATATATATTTGATGTTGGAAGAAGAGGGTTCAGGGTATCCCCTAGTCGGGAACTCGCGACTAAAACCTCTTACTTGTTCTTATTACATCCCCTGTTGTGCAAAAAAAAACTAGCTGGCAACATTGCATACTTAATATATTTATGTTAGGGGCTGCCAACTTATAAAGAATGCTTACACAAAGATGTAGAATGTTTGAACATATATATAATATATTTATTCAATATAAATATCATGTTTACATAATATTCATCGTCATGTGTACTTTTACTTATTTTCCCCAGTTATGTTAGCATTCTTCATAAGTTCATAAGTTCATAACATAAATATATTAAGTATGTAAGGGTATAGCTGCCATAGGAACGACCGGTCGAAAAGTATTAGAAAATTAAGTTGTTGTATGGACAAATTTTTGTTTTTCACTATATCTTGACCAAACTCGGCATTTATTAGTTTAACTATGCTCCCTTTATACATGCAAAATCCTATCAACATCGGACCACTATATCATATAGCTGCCATAGGAACGAAAGGTCGAAAATAAAGTTGTTGTATTAAAAAAACATTTTGTTTTTCAAGATATCTTGACGAAACTCGGCATTTATTAGTTTTACTATACTTCTCATATATAGGCAAAATCCTATTAAGGTCGGACCACTATATCATATAGCTGCCATAGGAACGATCGGTCGAAAACCAGGTTATTGATTCAAAACCTTTTTATACCCTTGCAGAGGGTATTATAATTTTGTCGTGAAATGTGTAACGCATAAAAGGAGACATCTTTGACCAGTTGATCAGTTTCATATATTCTTGGTCAGTTTCTATGCGATCTAGTCTCTTAGTTTTAAAGCTATCTTAATGAAACTTTGCAGAAGTCCCTTTTTCTGTTGCACAAAGCACATATGTCAAAACCAGCTGAATCGGACCACTATATCATATAGCTTCCATGGGAACGATCGGTCGAAAATTAAGTTGTTGTATAAAAAAAACATTTTGTTTTTTAAGATATCTTGACCAAACTCGGCATGTATTAGTTTTACCATACTCCTCATATATATGCAAAATCCTATTAAGATCGGACCACTATATCATATAGCTGCCATAGGAACGATCGGTCGAAAAGTAGATACTTGTAAAAAACACGTTTTGTTTTTCAAGAAATCTTGACCAAAATCGACATTTATTAGTTTAACTATGCTCCTCATATGTATGCAAAATCCTATTAAGATCGGACCACTATATCATATAGCATATATATATATATATGCAAAATCCTATCAACATCAGACCACTATATCATATAGCTGCCATAGGAACGATCGGTCGAAAACCAGGTTTTTGGGAAAAAACCTTTTTTGGTTATCAAAATATTTTGACCAAACTCGGCATTTACTATTTTCCCGGTACTTCTTAGATACGGGCAAAGCACTATGAGCATTATGAAAAGGTTGGGTCTGCAAGGGTAGACCTTCGATCTTCGGCGTGCTTTCGGCACGGAAGGAAGGCTTCGGAAGGCTATCTTCATAGCCTTCTTTTTCGTTGTCGTTACTATCGTTGCGTTCAGGCCTTGCTTCCTGGAGGCTTGGGGGTGCCATCTCGAGAGGGGCTGAGATGGTAACTCGTGCACATACGCAAATTCATAAAATTTTTGCTCATTGAGTAATGAACAGAAGGAGATGAAAAGTCACTCTGAGCTTTTAATAAATATTGTTGTTGTTGTTACGCACTGCCTTATAGGAACGACAGTTAAAGCAGCAACAAATACAGTGACATTATTTGTTCCTTGTCTCTGCACAGACCAACAAATTGTACCTTGCTTGAGTTCAAAACGGTAATAACAGAGCGCTAGGCGCTGGTTTGTACTTAGAAATATAGATAAATTAAAAAAGAAAACTGTTTCCTCGATAGGGGTCTCCAACCTCCTCTACTCAACAGCCACATCAATAATTGAGTCCTGCTGAGAAAAATACGGATTTAAATAGCAGCACAGAAAACAATATAATCGCAATTGCCGTGATGCTAATAAAATTCTATAAAGTCGCGTATGAACGTGTGTACATGTATACAGAAATTCTTGCAATTTTCCTTAACTGCCGCAAACACGATGCTAGTCAAAACACGTTATCTTTGTGTTTCTTAACCGATCTTGGTGAAATTTTCAATAGAGCTTATTGTGCTATTGAATATTCGTATATTCTTAAAAAGACAATTTCTTTAAAATTGTAGTTTAAGTTGGTGGGTAGTTAGTTAGGTAGTAGCTAGCTTGTAGCTTTAAAAATTTGTATGGATTCAGGGTATACAAAATATAGACTCGAACACGCCACGCGTTTTGCTACCACCCCTACTCAACAGCCACACCAAGAATTGAGTCTTGATGAGAAAAAACAGACTAAAGTAGCAGCACAGAAAACAATACAATCGCAATTGCAATGCTGTAGATAGAATTCAAAGAAGACGCGTATGAATGTGTATGTGTACATGTATTCACAAATTCTTGCAATTTGCGCTAGCTACCCCATCAAATTGCGCAGTAAAACACCTTTTGGGCTTTTCTTAACCGATATTAATGAAATTTTTTACAGTATGCCTTATTGTACCACAAAATATTTGTGTACACTCAAAAAGTAAATAACATTTAAATTGTGGTTTAAATTGGTGGGAAATTCAATTACAAATACAATTAACTTGATTTATAGCCATGACGTAGTAGCGGGAAGATGGCGATAGGTATTAAATAAAAGATATTTGATATGTATATACTATTCTAGAATAAACATATCAAGTTTGGCGACTCTAGCTCTTAATATTTGCCCAATTTGCTCAAAAAACAGGATTTTGGTATTGAATTTTATCGATTGCTTGGGAACGGAGTAAGTTATAGATTATCGGAAACAAAGTCGATCTGCGCAGGCACTAGGAGGACCTACAGCTAGTCTTTAGCTCCTATAGGTTCTGATATCCTTGCGTTCATACGTATGTATGACCACTAACCAAACAACATATACCCTGGACATGACATAGAGGGAAATTGGGCACCGCGAGTAAGGCGGTAAGACATACATATGATGTCTTTTTATACACACTACAGGAAACTATTTGGCTTACTCTCTTCCATATGATTTATGCGATAGAACCGCAACGCTGTTTATTTTTATCTCGCTCGCACTTTTTCTCAGTGCTTTAAATGTGTGTGTGTATGTGTCCGACAAGCACAAATGTGCACAAATTCAATTTTTTCGACCACTAATGAATGTTGATCCCTTTTACCTGCAGAAGCCCGCTGGGCCGAAAGGATCAACTTTTGGCAAGCACCTGCACCTGCATATGTACATAGGTCAAGTGACAGATCACTTATGTATGAAAATGATTTTAAGACCAGCGGAAATTAGATTTGTTCAGAATTAATTAGTAAAGCTTTCTTAAACACGTATCTTCAAGTTGGTATACCGTGCATTGAGGGCCCTGAGAAAAGATATTATGGTATGGGGCTAGCAACGAGGGTGCTGCATAATTTTTTTTTATAATTTTTTCAAGATTGGTTAGGTGAAACTATAGACTTCAATAGTGTATATGCGGTTTTCGGAATGTAGAATGAATGTAGATAATAAATAATTTAATATTTTGCAATTCTGCATTTAAAGATATTTGGTTTTATGCTTAAAAACTTAAAGCTGATATGCACAAGGAGGCGGATGTGGAGCGCATTGTGCCAGCAACGCTGGCCAAGCACGGACGCATCGATGTGCTGGTCAACAATGCAGACATACTGGAGCGAGGCACCATTGAGACAACATCTCTGGCTCAATTCGATCGCGTGATGAACACCAATGTGCGTGCGCTCTACCAATTGACCATGCTGGCCACCCCGGAGCTGGTCAAGACCAAGGGCAGCATTGTAAACGTGTCCAGCGTGAATGGCATACGTTCTTTTCCCGGCATGCTGGCCTATAATGTGTCCAAGGCAGCCGTGGATCAATTTACGCGCTGCGTCCCCCTGGTGCTGGCGTCCAAGGGTGTGCGCGTGAACTCTGTGAACCCGGGAAGCCGGGTAGCCGGAATACATAAGCGCGGCGGCATGGATGAGGCTCCCTATCAACAGTTCCTGGAACACTCAAAGATCACACATGCCCTGTGTCGTGCCGGCAATGTGGAGGAGGTGGCGAAAGCGATTGGTTTTTTGGCGTCAGCCTAGCCGTGAACGGCAGCCGGCAAGCTATGTGCCCGCGCTAAAAAGTAAAAAACAAACGCAAATCGGTGTGTGTACACCGCTTGCATTTAATCAAAAATTAACAATACTCGTGATAAACAGCTCAATTAGCGGCTTTAATCGCAATTCGAATTTCACAACGTCGAGCTTAGAGAGAGCGCCAGCAGAACAAAAAAGTGAGTATTTTCGAGTTTATTTGCTATCGAAACACTTCCAATTGGAATTTCGCAACTTTGAGTGTTGCCAAGTTAGCTATTTTTGAACAAACTAAAAGTAGCTTATTTTACTAAATATTTTTATCAGAAGTTCGTCAATGTAAAACTTCTGCTATATTGGATATAAGATAATATATATATTTGTCAGCTCTATACTTGGTCATATGTACTTAAAAAACAAAGAGAGATTAAAAGAAGTGTTAGCTAGTTGTCAAATCCGTATTTTTAGCTATTTTTGCTCGTGAATGGTAGGGCACCACTGACTGCAATAGAAGCTACAGGCTTGTTATCGATAGGTCGATCGACTTTGCTACTTTGTGCGCTGCTGTCAACTTCAATGTCAAACAGAGATATCACAAGTAGTTTAGCCGCAGTAGAAGGCAAACGCATAATATGCCGAATTTCAAAGATAAGGTGATTATTGTGACAGGCGCCAGCTCTGGCATAGGTGCAGCCACTGCCGTGCACCTGGCCAGCCTGGGCGGACTGCTGGTAATTGTGGGTCGCAATGAGGCGAAATTAAAGGAAACAGCGGATAATATTCTGGCTGCAGGCTGCGCGCCGGCGCTGCAGCTGCAAGCCGACATGAACAAAGAGGCGGATGTGGAGCAAATCTTGGCTGCCACCCTCAAGCAATACGGCAGACTAGATGTGCTGGTCAACAATGCGGGTATCCTTGAGATGGGTAGCATTGAGAACACTACCCTGGAGCAGTACGATCGCGTGATGAACACCAATGTGCGTGCGCTCTATCAACTAACCATGCTGGCCACTCCGGAGCTGGTGAAGACCAAGGGCAGCATTGTCAATGTGTCCAGCGTGAATGGCATACGCTCCTTTGCCGGCGTGCTGGCCTATAATGTGTCCAAGGCAGCCGTGGATCAGTTTACGCGCTGCGTGGCCCTGGAACTGGCTCCCAAGGGTGTGCGTGTGAACTCTGTGAACCCGGGCGTAATTATTACGGAACTGCAAAAGCGCGGCGGACTGGATGAGGCAACCTATGCGAAGTTCCTGGAGCGCGCCAAGGAAACGCATGCACTGGGCCGACCCGGCGATGTGCATGAGGTGGCGGCAGCAATAGCATTCCTTGCTAGCAACGATGCCAGCTTCACAACGGGCGTCAATTTGGCTGTGGATGGCGGTCGTCATGCCATGTGTCCGCGATAAGATGGGGAAAATAAAAATTATGTACATATGAGCTGCATTATATTATATAGTTGGATAACATGAGAACAAAACGGTTCTCATTTGAAACACGTTCCTGGTTAGGATCTTTGTTATTCCTTCGATCTGTCTGTTGCAGTTGGGTAAGGAACTGACGGCCTTTATCTGTAATTCGAGCCTAATCAAGATTATTCGCTTTGTGAAAGGCTTATGACTGGCTAAGGAAAGCATTTCCTATATATAACACATCTTTATTTCAAAAGGCACAAAATAAATGCACATAGTTATCTTTGGTAAGATTTGGTTGTGGTTAACGTGGGCACATGGCATGGCGTCCGCCGTCTACAGCAAGGCTGAGGCCCGTGGTGAAGCTGGCCAAATCGCTGGCCAGAAACGTAATGGCATTGGCCACCTCCTCTGTGGTGCCGGGTCGGCCCAAGGCATGTGTGGTTTTCGAATGCTCCAGGAACTTCTGATATGTGGCCTCGTCCATGCCGCCGCGCTTGTGTAGATTCGTGACCGTAACTCCGGGATTAACACAATTTGAACGCACGCCCTTGGCCGCCAATTCGAGGGCCACGCAGCGCGTAAACTGATCCACGCCCATTTTTGAGATGTTGTAGGCCAGCACGCCGGGAAATGAGCGTATGCCATTCACGCTGGACACGTTGACAATGTTTCCCTTGGTCTTGACCAGCTCCGGAGTGGCCAGCATAGTCAGGTGGTAGAGCGCACGCAAATTGGTGTTCATCACACGATCGTACTGCTCCAGGCTGGTGTTCTCAATGCTGCCCGTCTCGATGATACCCGCATTGTTGACCAGCACATCCAGTTTCCCGTATTGATTTAGCGTCTCGCTCCACACACGCGCCGTTTCCGCTTCCTTGCTGATGTCGCCCACAACCAGAGCTGTCGCGGCACCAGCTGCTTTACACTGCTCGGCCACCTTGTTGAGATTTTCCACATTGCGTCCGTTAAGCGACAGGCAAGCGCCGTATTTGGCGAACTTAACGGCCGTGGCGGCGCCTATTCCGGAACTGGCGCCTGTTATTAGCACGACTTTGCCGGCGAAATTCATGGCACGCAAGAGCTGCTGATTAAATTATGTAACCACTTGCTAGGCTTTAAATGCGCATCTGCCGCAGCTTTTATTCTACTTTGTTTTGTCTTATTGCCTAATTGTTTTCTCCCGTTCGCTTTGATAAGAGCGAGAGCGCAAGATCGCTGCTCAGCTGTTGGCAGCGTTGCCACACTGTGGTATCAACAACAGTTGCACTGCCTGCTTGCCATCTGCTTCAGATATTGTACAACTTAGTCGCCGAAATAGTCAAAGCTCGAGGCACACTTAAATTAAGGCTGTTAATAAGTTTCTGATGAGTTCGTTTTTTTTTTAACTTTATGTTAGCGTTCATATTAACAGCGCGTACGAGCACGGAACTGGCTGCCAAGCCGCTTCACAAATTCTGGCAGCGTTGCCAGTCTCTGTAAGCGACTGTTTAGCGAGCTGTTAAGATTTAAATTTAAATGCTTGTGTAATTACTGGTATTTCCTATATAAGACATCTTTATTTCAAAAGGAACAAAATAAATGCATTAAAACTTCTTTGGTCATGCTTGGTTGTGTTTAACGCGGGCACATGGCATGGCGTCCGCCGTCCACAGACAAGCTGAGGCCCGTGGTGAAGCTGGCCAGATCGCTGGCCAGAAATGTAATGGCATTGGCCACCTCCTCTGAGGTGCCAGATCGACCCAAGGCATGTGTGGTCTTCGAGCGCTCCAGGAACTTCTGATATTCAGCCTCGTCCATGCCGCTGCGCTTGTGTAGGTCGGTAACTATAACGCCAGGATTGACGGAATTGATGCGCACGCCCTTGGGCCCCAACTCGAGGGCCACGCAGCGCGTAAGCTGATCCAACCCCATTTTCGAGATGTTGTAGGCCAGCAAGCCCGGAAATGAGCGTATGCCGTTCACGCTGGACACGTTGACAATGTTGCCTTTGGTCTTGAGCAGCTCCGGAGTGGCTAGCATGGTCAAATGATAGATGGCACGCAGATTGGTGTTCATCACGCGATCGTACTGCTCCAGGCAGGTGTTCTCGATGCTGCCCGACTCCATGATGCCCGCATTGTTGACGAGCACATCCAATTTGCCGTATTGCTGCATCGTTTCGCACCACACACGCTCCGTGTCCGCCTCCTTGCTGATGTCGCCCACAACCAGAGCTGGCGCAGCACCAGCTGCTTTACATTGCTCGGCTACCTTGTTTAGATTTTCTACATTGCGTCCGTTAAGCGCCAGGCAAGCGGCGTATTTGGCGAATTTAACGGCTGTAGCGGCCCCTATGCCACTACTGGCGCCTGTTATTAGAACAATTTTACCGGCGAAATTCATGGCAAGCAGCGCATCTGCTGCAGCTTTTATTCTATTTTGTTTTGTCTTATTGTTGTTTATCGGCGTTTTTTAAAGCGAGAGCGCAAGATCGCTGTTGGCAGAGATGCCACACCGTGTTATCAGCAACAGTTGCGCTGCCTGCTCGGCCGTCTGCTTCAGATTTTGTACAACTTTGCTGCCGAAATGGTCGACATGTGAGGCAACCTAAAATTAAGGATTTATAAAAGTTTTTGAGTAGGACGTTTTATTTTTTTTGAGAACTATACGCTTGCTTTGATATCAAGAACGTTAGCAGGAACGCAGTTGGCTGCCAGACCGCTTCACAGCTTCTGGTAGCGTTGCCAGCTTCTGCAAGCGACAGTTAAAAAAAAATTTAAATTTAAATGCTTTTGCAGTTACTTGTACATATTTTTTTATTTATTGAATTATGCAACTTGTTCATCACCTTTACATGCACATGCCACAGCACATATACTTGTATGTCTCTGCATGTTTTAATACTATTTATTATGTGTGTTTTTTACAGCGCATTGATATATATCATTTCCATCTCAATATTAAATCTCAAACAACAAAACTGATTTGCGTTTCTTAAGGTTTTTTCCATTTGTTTGAAGCGCGCGTGTTCTGACTGCTACAACTTTAGAAAAATATATAGTATATATACCATTATATATGTATGTGTGGTTTAGTTAGCATAATATTCGATTACATTGAGTGGGTACAAATTTTTGTATACAATTTCCTTTTGTTTTTTTTTTTCGTTTTCATTTTGTGTCTTAACAACTTTTCGTTATATTTCTTTTTATAGTTTTTGTCAAGTTCTTACAGCTTAATAAATGTTACAAATGGAAGTAAAATTCATTAATAGTTCTCTCTACAAAGCTTGCTATAAAATTGCTCGAAATTTTCTGTGTTTTTGAGGAGAGAGTTGGAAGGGAATGGGTTTTGGGGGATTTCTTTAAATTCAACTATTTCTTTTCTAAGGCGAACACTTTCAGTGCATAGCAAATGAAAACTAGTAAAAAGCTGTAAATAAATTAAATTAAAAACAAAAGTTACATATTTGTTTTTAGCGTTTTTTTAATGCATAAATAGTTTTTTTGTGTATGTTTTTTTTTTTAATGATTCGTTTCGGTTTTTTCTATGCTTTTGCTTTTAGTACTATTATGTAATACAGAATTTTATGCTTAATACAGTTATTAAAAATGGTTAATTTAAATTAAACTAATTTTAAACTTAGACATTTAATAAAGGCGCGCCTCAAGCGTGCGCTGTTTTCATGTTTCTTTTTTTTTTTTTTTTGAGGGTTTCCGTATTAACTTCAGCTTTTCATCAAACACAACAAACAATTCAATGTGTGTGTTTGTGTGTGGAGAAAATAATTTTCTGGTATTTGGCATGAAAATCGATTTAAATTTTCAGACAAACATAACGCATTAATATCATTGAACTTAAATAAAAGGCAGATTCGACAGAAATTAGTAACATTTTAGGGAGAGGGGGCGGGGAGGATCCAGTAAGGCGAGTGTGTGGATCTCAACGTGTGTGTGGAACTCATTTGCAGCTCGGCATGTAGGTGTTGTTGTTGTGGTTGTTGTTTTGTGTAAACTAAAAATCTAGAAATAGTACAATACATATATATGGATAGTTAGGCATAGTGTTGGGCGCGAAATCCGCCATTTAACAAGACGACAGCTTAAGAATTGAGATTTAATATGAGGTTCTCAATCAATTCACAAGAGCACACAACAAAAGTTACAAAATGTAATGAGATAGTACGCGATTGAGTCAATGAACATGCGACAAACATGCGTTCCACATGCCATAATATGTGTCTGTGTGTGGATGTTGACTGTGAGTGTGAGAGGGAGAGTATGTGTGTGTGTGTGTGCGTTTACAGCGTAAAATAGAAAATACATTCAGGCCGCAAAAATAATCCACTCGGGTTGAAGTTTAACTACTACCACCTTGTCCCTTATCGTAGATAAGCTCCTCGCATATCTTGAGCAGATCCGCATTCTCCCGAGACTTTTGTTGCAGCTGCTCAGCCGTCGAGATGCGCGAGACTTCCTCCTTTTTGAGTAAAGCTTTCAATTTTTTCACCTCATCCGTGTGCTCTTTTGTAAGTGTGGCCATCTTTTTGTTGGCACTGCAAAAGGAAATAAACTGTGAGATTGCGAATTGGGCAAAATATGAAGAATTTTCATACATTTCCATTTGCTGCATGGCATGGCTTTTCATTTGCTCATATCGCTGCTCTTGCTGTCGCAATTTGTCCATTAATTTCTTCTTCTCCTCCAGCAGATTCTCCTCGATCTGTTTTAGCTGTGAGGTCATCTCCTTGCTCTTTTCATATTTGCTACAGCCAAGTAGGTTGCAATTAGTATAAAAATATTAACAGAGATTTCCTAGTAATTCTTCTTACACATGGAGATCGGAAAATGTCGTTTCCAGCGACGTTAAGTGATGATAATTCGAATCACGATCTGTTTGCACTTCCAGCATTTGCCTTTCATGGTTTTGTACCAGCTGCTCCTTATCATGGATCAGCTCTGCAATGGCTTTTTCGTAGGCTTCAATGACGCCGCTGTGGATTGTGAGTTTAGTGAGAGGAAATATTATTAAGTTAAGGAGACCCACTTGAGTTTTGCGTTTGTTTTGTCCTTTTCTGTAATCCGTTTGACCAGCGCCTCTTCGCGTTGCTCGGCATCTTTAAGTTTCTTTTCAATGTCCTCGGAGCGGGTGCTACGGGTAGATATATTATTTTATTTTTTATTTACGATACGTTCCACAGATTGAAATCCACTTTTACTTACACTTCATTTTTGATTTTTTTCTCCAGTTCATCCATGTTGTTGTATTTGTTTGTTTTGTCCTCCGAGTTCAAGCTGCGAAATACAAGAAATTTTATTCATTTATACGTTCCACATATTTTTTTTTAGCGCTATTTACTTTGAATTATCGAAGGTCTTGTTGCAATCGTTATCGATAACATCCACACTCATTTTTGCATGCTTCTGTGGGTAAGATTTGGTATTATTAGAGCTCGTTAGCCACACTCGGCATACTTCACAACTCACTCTTGTTCTATCCACTGGCGGCTTGAAATCCTTTTGAGCTGCAGCTGCTGCTCCTTTGGCACAGGGTTCAAATGTAAGCGACTGATTGCTACCGCTGGTCTCGTGCTCCTCCAATGTGGGACTCAATGCACGTGTTAAATTGTTGTTGTTGCTGAGTATGTTTAGCAGCGCCTGCTCCTGCTGCTGTTGCTGCTGTTGCGACTGATTCACTGGCACCGGAGCACCCAGAAGCGGATCAAATTTCAATAGTAACGAGCTCCGATCGATGGGCGCATTGTTGCTGCCTTTTGTGTACAAATAATCGAAATCTGATGAATTGAGTATAACTATATGTGTTTGCGTGTGTGTGTTTGCGGCAGTTATAAATGTGTGCGTGTGCGTGTGTGTGTGTGTGTGTGTAGTTGAGATACGAGTGCATGCGCGTGCATTTTGTTGTTGTTGAATGAAAAAGAGATAAACACAAAAGTTAGTTGATAAATATATATATATATAGTACATATAATTAAATTGTATCAGATTTGGCATATTATGACGTTATTTCTTAAATGCTTACGCATATGTTATATGTATAGATAAAGCAATAGAAACTGGGCACATGACAAAGATTGACGTTGTTGGGTTGGGCATAGGCGACTTTGAATTGCGCTGCTAGAATCAGAACTAACATCAGATATTAAATATGCGACACTTCGAACAATACACATTTTACATGATATTTAAATGATGTTTCTCTGTGCCAATGTACCCCACATAGAAGTACATGTGTAGCGCCCTAATGCCCAGCACGTATCTGAATGCGCTCTCTTGTTCTTTGTACTTCACCTTTGAAAACAAAAGCGGCAGGAAAAAGGCGACGACGACATTTAAATATATTGCGGCATGACTCAAACTGGGCGATACCCTGTAAAGGGGCGCAAGTGTTGCCAATCCAATCTTTAAAAATGGCTAAAAAATACCTGAATCAGCTTTTGCAGCGGAAATTGCTAAAAAAATAGATTTAAACATTTTAACTGTTTCCGGCTGAAATTGTTCAAACTTAGCTAGAAAAGAGCTGAATTGGCAACACTGGTCTTACCCCGCCCTAATTGGGCGAGGTGTGCCGCACAGAAGCCGCATTATTTGGCCAACATGCGCGCAATATAAACAAATGTCAAATGGAAGCGGCTTTAAAAATAGTAAAACGTGGAAACCCGGGCAGGCCCAGATAAACACAGATACATGGCATATAAGAATGCGGGTCACTCAACTGCAGGGCGTAAGGAAACCAAAACAAAAATAATATTATCCAAATACAAATCGAGAACAAAACAAAAAACAAAGCCGCAATTGCCGTTTGTGAGTCATTTTATGCAATAGTAGGAAGGCACGAAGCGGGTTGCTTTTTTTTTTTTTTATTATGAACCGTGAACTAATTGACAAACTGATGCATTGACAAGACACAATGGTAAAGGAAAGAGCGTGAGAGCGCGCGCGAGTCAGAGCTTGATGAGAGTAGCTCTCGCGCGAAAAGTTTTTACACTGTGCTGCGTTTTAGTTGCTTGTACGTCTGTTTCTTGTCAACTTTTGCATTTTCAAGATTTTTTACAGTTATTAAAATACTCAATGTTAACCGTGACCACGCAGCACCCACACGCACACACAGACACAATACAAGGCACATGCACAGCTACACACAGACGCACACATACAATCAATTTTTACGCTCTCGCTCTCATTGGAAAAAATACAACTTTTTACTTCAGTCTACGTCTTCAGATTGTGGCTTTATTTATGCTTCTTTTTGTTTTTTTTTTCTTTCGCATTTTGTCATTGACACTTTTGTGTAACTGGGCAAGTTGTTGTTGTTGCTGTGTGACCAGATGCTTTGTATTTGAGCGTATTTGCGCAAATTTCACCAGGCAAACATTTCGCAAATGTATGCTATACACAGCCAATACAATAAATATTTGTTTTTATATAAAACATTTTCAATTACATTTGCAGGTTTGCTGGTACTCCACGAAAAGAAGAGACGTTGTTGTTTAGCGACAACGCGACGCGGACAGAGGCTGTGGCTGTGGCAGCAGCGACAACGTCAAAAGTTGGAAACTAACTGAAATGGAATGCTAATATGCTTACTTTTCTCCGATGCCAATAAGAAAACCAGCGCACGCACGCACACACACCTACACACAGCACACACTCACACGAACTGAGTCAGAGAGCGTACGCGGAGAGTCGCGAGGCAACTTGGATTCTGACTGGAGTGTGTGACAGTGACGCGTATGCAATGAGCAAGTGCGATGCGCCAGCGCCAAGAGAGTGTCTCGTCATATGGTGAGAGTAAAAAACCGTGTATGTGTTAGTGTGTGTTGAGTACACGCGTGTGGGTTCTGGGGCTGCTTGCTCACTAGCGTAGTAAAAGTGCATGAGCAAGTTCTATGCAAGATTCTCATGCTTAGTGTGTGAGTGGGATAGTGAGAACGACCAGCTACGGGCGCAATGCGCTATGAAGAGACTATAGTGATGAATGGGCATAACAAATATTTCACTAAAAAAATGTGTTTTAAACAAATGCAAAGTAATATCTATTATCTTTTTTTTTAGAAAAGATGATTATTTGATTTAAGCTCTTTCTTTGTTAACTGGGTTCCACTGTAGTTGCCTCCCCCTCTACCAACTAGACTTGACCGAGAGGCAGTTCTATCGATATGCACTTATCTGATTTGTATTAGTATATAGAGTTGCATTTGTTTTGGCAGCGATAACGATAATTGCGGCAAGTTTAAAAATGAATTCATTAATGGCAAATTAAGTGAAGTGTAAAGCGTGAAGTGGGCGAATCATTAAAAGAAATTTTTTTGCATACATGAGCAATTTTCCAATTAGGAAACGCCTTACGTTAATAAGCCAAAAATATAAATGCGCTCATCGGGGGCACACACACATACACGCGCAGAGGCAGTCAGACAAATGGACAAACGACAGTTCATCAATTGGGCAGCGTGACGTCACATCGGAGACATTTGCGTTTATTTTGTTGCGGCGATTACGGCATACTGATAAGGGTTCGAGTGCGCAGAGAGCGAGAGAGTAACATTGAGAGACCAAAAGTGCTGTCAGATTGGGAGCGTAAGTGAGGGCGCACAAAAAAACGTGCACCCAATTCGATTCCGCACGTGTGTATGTGAGTGTGCAAAGGGGCAATGCGGCATTTTCGAAGTACAACGGCTGCATTAATATGCATTTAAAGCAACAATACAACATGCAGACAGCTGTGCGGCAGACAAAAATTATGCGCTTAATTGACGTCGCATTGTTGTCGTTGTTGTTGCTTCCTTTCCTGTTTATGTGCCGTTATGTTGTGGTATTGAAGTTCAGGTTCATTGCCTTGCATGTGGAGATTTATTTTTACAGTTAGACGCAGTCTAGGCAAGCGGGTGGCCCATGCAAATAAACTATCCTCGGCCCTGGCTTGTGCCCACATTTCAAGTTCAAATGCCAAAGCTGAGGTAATCTTCCCCGTCTCCCACGCCCTGGCAACTCATGAGCTAAGGTCACGAATATAGCAGACGACGTTGATTTTAATGGACAATGCGATAGGTAGGGGAGGGGGAGGGAGGCAGTGGTGAGGGACGTGCACGATTATTAAATGAATATTGAATTTAGAATTGGATGCGTGTCGTGTCACGTGCAACGTGCACGAAACCTAGCTATCACGTTATTGTTAATTTTGAAATTGGAAATTATAAAATATTATTTTTCTTTAAATTATTATTAGAAATTGAATAGAACAAAAACACAAAAAGTACAAATGTTAGGTTTGTGCTCGGGTTGAAAAAGTGCGACACGCACTCATCTCTAATTTTTGTAATGAAATTTTAGTAATCGGATGCAATGCAAATAGAATAGGGGCGTATGTTAGGGGGCGTTACTTACTGTTGTTGTTGCTGGCTCCGTCGTGAAACTCTGCATCATGGAATTGTTCATCGGTTACGCTGGCTTTCTTGCCCCTGGCCAAGCTGGCCAAGCTACCGATGCACTGTGGCTGCTTGAAAATGTCATCAGAAATGGGCGACATGGCACCAAAGTGGTCCACATAGACATCCTCCTTTTCATCACCGGCACTGAGCTGCTCCTTAACGGACAGTCTCTGCTCCTCCACATAAGCTGGCACATCTGAGTGGATAGACGGACGCTTGAGTTGGATTGGCAGCTGCTCCAGCTGCGGCTGGTGCTCTTGCTGTTCTGAAGCTGCTTGAGACTCGGCCAGCTGTCCTGTCGACTCCTTGTCGACGTTGTGGATCGACTGATCCACATCCATAGGCTCCAAATCATCAGCCATGATATTCTCCTCGGTAGCCTCTAGTGCCGGCGATGCGTCCTGCTCCATGCAAAAAGTGCGTCGCATTTGATTTGATCCCAATCCACGCTGCTGCTCCTCCTCCTTGCGCAGATCCTCTACGAAAAATGTGCGCCGCTGCTGCTGCTGCTGCTCCTCCTCCCGAGCTGCTTGCAGTGATGTGCCATAGGTGGCATTCAATTGATTTTCCTCCTGGCCGCGATCATACGCTTGGGACTCGCTGAACCGCTTGGCCGCCTGTTGCTCTGCTCGATCCGTGCTCACCGAGAAGGTGAGTCTTTGTTGGCCGCCGGCTGCATTCAGCGGCACGCCAAAAGTTGCCCGCGGGCGTTCAGCTCTCTCAATCGACTCCGGACTGGCGCTGTCAAAGGTGCCATTGAGTGGGGAATTGCTAGGGAGGGGCTGCTGCTGCGGCCCCTCTGGGCTGGCACCCGTCACGGTCAATTGTATGGGTAGCGGCGACCTGGCTATGACTCCGCTCAGGCACAGCTTAGGCTCGGCGGCGGGCTCAATGTTCGCCTGTTCCAGATATTGCATCTCCTCCTGCTCGGCCGGCGCATGCGGTGAGCGTGGAAAGTGCCTCGGTGATTCCGCAGGTGATCTTACAGGGAAGCTGGGCGATGTCGGCCCAGAGCAGCCATCCTGCGAGCCAACACCTATATTCAGTTCCAGTGCTGGCAACGGACTGGGCTGCTTAGGTACGGGCGCCACAGTTGCCACGGGCTTGGGCGGCGACGCTTGCAACTCTTCCACGTGCCTGGCTGCACTCGCCATGACGTCTGCCGGCTGCTGTGGCTCTTCAGGTGGCTGGGCGTAGGCCTGCAAGGCCAACAGCTCCACCAGCTCCTCAGGCGTCTTCATGCGATGTGTGGGTATGGGCGGCGATGTGGGCAGCAGCTCACCTGGCTGCGCCTGCAACGTGGGCGAGATTGGAGCTGCATCGGATGGCGGTATGGGCTGCTCCAGCAGTTGCCCTACAGACTGCTGCGTCTGCAATGGAGCAGAGACTGGCACTGCTTCGGGTATCTGTAGTGGGGAGAGTGGGGCAGAAGCTGCAGAGTCTGGAACTGGTTGCTCCACATCTTGCTTCTTCTGGTGTGTGGGCAATGGTGGTGAGAGCGGAGCCGGAGCAGGAGCTGGCTGCGAGACGGTTTGTGCATTCGGCGTTGTATGATCCTCAATTTTGTCTGAATCTGAAGCTGTGGGCACTAGTTGCTCCAGCGGTAGGTCCATAGTTGGGATCGTCTGTCCGGTTGGAGATATTGGAGCTGGAGCAGCAATTGGTTGCGACGTGGCTGGCTCCTGCTCCTTTTGCATGGATTGTTCTAGCTTTGGGGATTGCTCCTGCTGCATGGACTGCTCCTTTGGCACGGGTTGTTCCTGCTGCATGGACTGCTCCTTTGGCACGGCCTCCTCCCGCTGTTCCTCAACTTTCGGCATCCCCCTTTGCTGTGTCGGCTGCTGAGCCTCCTCTTGCTGCTGCATTGCCCCGTCCAGCAACTGCTGCTGCAGCTGCTGACGATCCTCCGGTGCAAGCACATCCTTTAGCAATTCCATTGTCTCATTTATATCATCGACATCCATTGGCTCGCAGCTGTCGTTATGAGCCGCATCGCTCAGCGTATTCTCGAGCGTTGTTGCTGTCGCATTGGACAGCTGCTGATGCTCCAGAACGTCATTTAAGGCGCTCGAGTAGGCCTCCAGCTCGGACTGGTCCGCCGAGAGCTTCCCGCTGTTCAGGGAAAGACACTCGGCATAAACATCCGAATCGGAGTTGTATTCGTGCTCGCTCAGCTTAAGCGTCGTCGAGCTGAGCACCGGAGCACATGCATCCGCCTTCAGTTGAGCTGTGGGAAGATGGGCTTTGTTAAAAAGTAGGTTCATCTTTATTTTGTTGACGGACTCTCACCTTCCATTTCGACGCTGAGCGGCGCTAGTTCTGGTATTTGGGTCTCATCGAACTCGGGCAAACCCGTGAATTTAAGCAATGGCTGCTCCTTGTCCCGCGGCGTGCTCGGCTGCGATGTGGAGCGCATTGCCACGACCAGTGCCTTCTGCTGCTCCAAGTTGTGCCTGGCCGAACCTGGCTTTACGGCCAGCGGACTCAGCTGCAGGCGGCGCATAAAAGAAAGAAAACGAACAGATCGTTAATCTTAAAATTAAAATTCAAAAATTAATATACTCAACAATTTGCGCATCGCGTGTGAAATGCAAAAAAAAAATTTCTTTGGGAGACTTGCGAGAAAAAAGAAGAAAAATTGTGAAAAATAAATAAATTAAGGGGGGCAGCTAACGTAGTCCAAGCAATTGGCAACCGAAACGTAAACAAGCCAAAATCCAATTAAAAATTACGAATCATCATCATCATAAACATGGGCGACAGCAGCTGCCCGGCTGAACCGCTGACATGTCCCAATTGGACGCAGGGGCACGGCAGGGAACAGCTGGTGACCAAAATAGGACACAATCCGGGTGAAACGATTACGCAAAATAGTCAAAAGGTAGACCCTGAAATGTTTAATACCCTAAAGAGACCGAATAACGGTGTATGCAGAACGTATTCAACTTGTATTTAATACAATCCACAACCAATTTATATACAACTTTAATTGCATTCCACTTTTGCTGAAATATGTTCCTTGTGGAACACATTAATCACAATCTATGCCAGAGTGGAACCTATTCAACGTGCATTCAATACACTCCACAATTAATTTATATGAAACGTTAGTTTCATTTCATCTGCTAAAATACACTACTTTAATAGCATATATCGATATGTTGATTGTGGAATGCATTCATCCCAATCTGTGCTAATTAGAGTAGAACCTATTGAATATAATCTACACCCAACTTATCCGAAACGCCAATTGCATTCTGCGTCTGCTAAAATACAACATTTTAATAACTTTTATCGATATGTTTCTTGTGGAATGCATTCATTACAATCTAATGCAATAGTTCTAAGAAAGTGGAACGTATTTAAAAAACAGAACAGTACAGATTCAATTTATGTTCCAGCATAGCTCAGCATACGTGGAACGTTTTAGAATATTTGCGAAGTGAAAGTGAAACCTGCTCAACTGACATTCCACCACAGCTAAGCATATGTGGAACACATTAGCACCTTAAGCTTACAATAAAATAGAGCTCGAAAGCTAGCTATGTAGACCCTATATACCTATAGCATAATAAAAAAACAGCTTAATGTTGTTCTGAGGAACGAATACTATTGACACAGAATTCTATCAGAACTATATTATAGGCAAACCATATAACGCTAGTCACAGCTGACCAAGTTTGAGGCAATGACACATCCACACACATCTACACATACACTCTCACGCAGCACACAAACGACGCAGTCAACCCGGTCGGTTGCCCGGCCCGAGACGAACGAAAAGTAAATGTCATTAAATTTAGAAGCAGCCCGAAACATGGTGGGGGAAATTGGGGTAGGGTGAGATTAGGTGACGCGAAGCCGGGGTAAGTGGGTCGCCTGGCGGCGTCTGCTTGTTGCCAGTGCAAAAAAAAAAATGAAAAAAAATATCTGAATAGGAATTAAATCTGTGGCGTGTGGCGATGTCGGCGGCCAATTGCAGGCGACGCTGTTGGAAGGCCTTGTGGCCCGTCAATGCAAGCGAAATTTAATTAGAGCAATCGCAAGCCGCAAGGTTAAAGTCAGTCGGGAGCGGGTTTTATGGGCGGGGAGGGTAGGGGAAACAGGGCAGGTGATTTGCAAACGGGGTGCGCCTGGGCATTAGGCACGATGACAAATTACGTTTTGTGTGTAACAAAATTGGACTAATGGGAATTTATCTAGCGAACCTTGTGGATCCTGTTGTACAGAAACGGTGAATATGAATTACATTTTTATAATCCAAATTGAAGTAAACACAATCCACAAGCAGCTTATCGTGTATAAAAGTGCAGCAAAAGTCAAATACTTTTCAAAGCTGAAGCTTCTAGAAGCGAGAAATTGTGCAAGCTTGAATTTGATTTAATGCCAAGTCTATAATTATTCTGAAACGCAATCTTAATCCACAGAATTCTCACCTACAATCCACACAGTTTAAACATCCGCTCTATCCCCAACCCGCAACCCACTTGCATTCTTCACTCTCAACCCCTTTTACCAATCCACCAGTTTCTAATTTACACTTACAATCCACAACTAAGATCCACACATTTCCTACATTTCACGCAGATTATGAGTTTACAATCCACGCGTTTTCCACCTACAATCCACTCAAAACCCACTCACAATCCACATCCGCCATTCATTCACAATCCACACCTACCTCAAGGCTCATTGCCTGTAAATGTTCCATTTCACGTGCGGTTACTTGATCCAGATTAAAATTAATCTCACTGAGTAGCTGTTTGATGGTTTCCCTAGTGCTGTTTGTTGACTTGGGTGGAGAGTCTGGACATGGAACAGGCGCATCCACGTGATCTATCAAATCTTTGTGCTGCCGCTCCAGGCTATCCAAATCCTGGGCAGCTGAATCAAATAAACTGTCCAGTTCCGGGTCAATGGAACAGCGATCCATGGCTAATGTGATGAACGCGGTGGAGCTGGATAAAGAGTGCCTGGAGCTGGGCACAGCTGTTGGGGCACTGGAACTGCAACTGGGCGAGGCTCCGGGTGCGGACGCGGGCTCGGTCTCTGGCAGCACAATGCTGTTGGGTCGCTTTATGAGATTCGATAGGAAATCCATTTGTTCGAAAATAATTTTCTTACACACGATTTGCTGCACGTTCTTTTCGGTTCGGACTACGGTTCACTGCGCGTGCCACAGACGGGAAAACAAACAACTTTTGGCGCTTGGCTTTTCCACTTTATGTATTATATATATACATATAAAACTGTACATATATATAATTCTAGCTAAACTTGTGTAAAATCTGTATTTTAGAGTTCTGCTGTCGCCGCCTGCTACTCGCACATTTGGCATTCAAAAATATTTGATTTTTCTGCGCTCATCATTGAATAATAGATCCGATTTATACGCGTCGTCCGCTTGCGTTTGTCTTGACTTACACGTTTCGTGTCGTTGTTTGAAATCAATTTAAAAATATTTTTCATTTCAATTTGCCGTGCGACCGCAACGTGTATATGTGTGTGTGTGTGAGAGAGATCGAGACGAGAGCGAGACGAGAGAGAGCGCTGTCTATTCGAATGACATCCACAAAACAATCGTTTTTGGGCTCTGTGCACCCCCAAAAGGGGTTCTCTTTATTATTAGTCGCCTTCTTTTTTCTCTCTCTCTCTGTCCCTCTCACACGATCGTCTTATCTCTGATGATCAATAGAAGGTTGTGTATTTTTAAAAGTCCCGCTAAATTTTGTGACCTATTTTGCAGTCTTTTATACCATCTTGGTATCGATCGCTGATCTATAATAGGCGCTTTTTTTCACATATAGATTTTTGCAAATGTTTTAAAATTTTGTTTCAATAATTAAAACGAGTTTTTAAGTTTCTTTAATACAGTGTAGATCACTGACCTTAAGCTACTTGGGTTCAGTTCAGTTCAGTTTTAATCATGTATTGGTAGATTTAATATCTTAGTAGGAGATAATCACTTATTAATTTAAGTAGATCAAAACAACTTTATTATAGAGGATTTATGTCAAATACTAAAATCATCTATGTAGCATATATGTAACTATGATCACATTATATATTGTATGATCTTTGTAAACTGCGATCATTGATCAAAAGATAACTCTTTCGAAATATTTTTGACTAAGAATTCTTTTTCCCGCGTAAAATATGTTCACATTTTAGGCAATTTTTTAAACAGTGAATCAGCTTTTAGAGATCACTTATGGTGATTATATGCCGTACTTATGATTATACTGCCACTCGCCGAGTGGGGATCTCACTCCGACTACTGATCACGGAAAGAAATGTTTCTAACCCTTAAAAGCTTAAATCGTTAAGCGTTTGGTTCGATAGTCATTTAAATCGAGTTGTGTGGGTGTTTCGTGCAATGTAATTTAATTAGCTGCTTAATTGAACCTGCAGTCAATTTATTGATCTTGCCACAAGGTGACCGTCTTGGAGGCGCAACCGACGCCAACTAATCCACAGAATGCAAAGCGAAAAAATGCAACCACAAAAAAGCAGAGAAGAGCGAAGCGCGAAATAATGGGGCAATGCAGCTTGGGCTAATGAAAGAAAGCTACGTTTGTTAAGAGCTCAGCTGGGGCAGCACCCTGTACACGGCATGTGGATGCCAAGTGACAGCCAGAGACATGCAATCCCGCAGCAACCATTGTTGCGCATCGTGCACTTGAGGAAGTGCTCCACTTGGCCCCCCCCCCCACCTGACCGCACCCTTTAGCTGCTGATTTAGCATATTTTGAGGGAAACCAAATATCAGACGATGAGCCATGACGAGCCGGCGAGAAGGGCGGGCAAATGCGTGACAGGTGACAAGATATGATACCATACTGAACATGGAAGCAGTTCCCATTTCACAGTTGCAGTTCCAGTTGCATTTAAACAGTTGCAGCTGCATTGCATTTAAGTGCAACATTAGACAGCATTTGGCCAGCGGCACAGGCAGACACAGTCAAGGCGTAAACAAGAAAAGAGCACTCGTTTTGACAGTGAACGACTGGGGGATACCCTGTAGCGAAAGGAAAAAATTCACAAATTGGTTGCTAAATAACTATAATAATTATGACATTTTCAGGGTATAACGATAGTATTAAATTCTGTATAATATACCTAATCTCAAGGCTCAAAGTCTATCTTCTTATATTGAGGCTGTTGGGTAAATGTATCAAAAAGTAACATATTCCTTTTAATAGACATGTTTAATACGGTCTCTGTTTAGTATCTATTCCAAGTAAAGGGTATCAACACAAACAAGCCAAGGGGACGCCAAAGACAACATCAAGACGATGATGTTAAGGAGGGTAGAGTGCAGGCAATTTGAACCTAGCCTATAAATAGACGGAAAACAAATGCGGACGGCATCGTTTCATGTGGGGGAGGCGACAACGTCGACGACTTGTCAATGAACTTTGCCATGCCGGAAAGTAGCCGAAAAAGCGCCTAAGATGCCGCTCAAATGTGACAAGAGATGGGAAGAGTTGTCATGAAAAAAATCTGACAGGAGTTAAGTTACCAGGAACAGATCATGCCTGCAGACTCGTGGCCAGGAAACATATTCTTTTATGTATGTGTATATTTTTTTGGCACAGGCTGGACGCCGTCAGGCATAAACAATTGAACATGTCAAGTGCAGATGGCAATTTACAGTTGAAACAGGCACAATTAATTCGTATATAAAATACATATATGCCTATTCAATATATATTCGGTATTTGCGCACTTCGCCTACCACATTTGGTGGCCAATGGTCCAACGATGCGGGCTCCCTGGACTTCAAGTGTTTGCCCGGCTTGTTGCCCATTTGGCTGGTTATATAGATATATATAAATATACTGCGCGTTAGTCAACGTCCGATCGCCACGACTTGTAGAACGCACTGAACGTCAACAACAGGCAACACCAGCGGCAGAAGCAAGCCATTATAAAAAGTAATAGGGGCTGCCAGACTAATAGAGGCCCTGTAAGCACGCGCCGCAAGTGGCGCTTCTTCTTGCACACTATGAATAAAATATGAATAAATAACTTTTGAGCTTATTATTAGATAGTAATAAAATGTTCAATGCTTCCGCTTCAGGGCAATCCCTTATGGAATACTTCTTCATAAAGAGGGGGCTGTATTATAAGTCAAATATTCCGTTCCATACGAAAAATAGTGTCCTTGGCAGTGTTGCGAACTGTCGCAGTTAAATCATCATCTCAAAGTGCTAAATAAGCATTCTGAACACTAATCGGCAACCGACCTGCCAATGCTGGTCAACACACACGGCAAGATCGACTGGGCCACGGCTGTTGATCATGAGTATATATGGATACTGTTAATACTCCATATAATATACCCCAATTCTTACAACTTTTATGGGTATAAAAACAAGCAAAATGTAATGTATGGCACCAGGAGTAACAAACACTACAACAACAGCGAAAAGCAGCGACAACATTTTTGGTTTGCAGCGAGCGTTCAGCGAGCAGCCCATCGATCAACAAAAGCCAGCGAAGCAATTGCCAATAAAGGCAGAAAACTGCAGAACGCGCGATCACTGCACATACACACACACACTCTAAACATGCATGAATATACATACATATACATATATGTATGTGTTCATGGTGTGTATTAGAAAGTGAATGCTAATTGTGTCTTATTTTGTTTTTAACGGCACGCCCACTCGCCGGTGGGCCTGTAACACGCTCTGGCAACGCTGATTGATTAATTATTTGGCCTACCTTTGCGCCGCCATCGTTTGTATTGAGCTCCTTTAACACGCTGCGGCTGCCGAGACTCACATTCAGTTGGGGAGAATCCGGGGCATCTGCTGCATTTAGTTCCATGACATGGGATTTGTGTGTTTATCTGAAGAAAACAATACTTATTTTTGCAAATTTTAACAATAACAAATAATTTTAGCGCAACGCGTAAAAAAAATGCCGCTTCAATTTAAAGTAAGACGCAAGGCAGAAGAAGCACAACTCTGTAACATTAACATTTTGCTAAGCTGTTATTAACAGCGAGCCTAGAGAAGCCTTTAAATTTCGCTTAAGTGAGTTTGTCTTTGTAACACTGGAAAAAATGACTTAAATAATAACAGCACATGTTAAATTTAATATATCAACGACCTTCCGGCCAGAAATTTGCTGAACGAAGATTGAGTTTAAACCTAACAGCCGCTAAGTGACTGCTAATCAGGCTATTCAACAATTGATAACATAGGCAGAACAGTGCCATAGGAGCCCAACTGTTATTTAACATTTTCGATGAAGAAACCACACAGGCATATTTTTGGCCTGCTATCGATATATTTTTTACCAGGCTCAACAGTTGTGCTTATGGTCTGTAATTGTAAACGGTTAAACAGCTGTTTCATAGCAAAATCTTTATGGGCGCTAAATTTAAAATAAGCCCCAAATACAATTATGTTTTGGTATGCTTTATTAAAAAAATATTGCTCTTTTTGCCATGCATAACATACTTTCATATAGTAACCATAATTATATAACATTCAAATATGACTCTGTTAAAAATATATGTGTACGTTATTTTTTTTTTTTTTTTGAGTAATTAGATACATAAATTACTTAAATAATTGAAACGCGACTAAGTGATTGAATAGATAAAAACTAACTTTGTTTTTTTATGCTGCATTTGATAATACATAATGGTAATGAAGTATTTTGAACTTAATGTGTACGTACTAATAGCTTTAAAATTATTATTGATTTAATTAATTAATAAAGAATTAAGTGTAACTATCAAATATGTCTTTTCATGTAATTCTCTCCAGGTGTTTTCAACACAATCACTTAAATGTGGAACAGCTTTAGGGTACTCAAGAGGACTTTTTAAGTACATATTATCATCAGTTGGTTGATATAAGTTTATATATAGGAAACAATGCTATACACTACATACATACATATCTAAATTGTGGAATTTGAGACATATTTTACAGTTTCATCGAGGACAAGTTTAATACTGGGCTGCTCTCGGCATGTTCCACATTTGACTTACTAACTTACGTGTCTATTATATGGCTATGCTGAAGCTATATTAGACCCTATATGTATGGTCGTCTTTTCGGTGTCTAACAGCATACGTTACGTTATTTGGTTGATCAAAATTATTTGCAAATTATATGCTAAAACTTAGAGATATACATTCTGTACGTTTTTACCTAAGAGCGTATTTTCTTTTAATTAAAATATTGTATTTAGCTTTAAGCTTAAAAGTTTGTCTAATTAAAAATTTATCTTTGACATTAAACATAATTATTGGTTATCATTTTTTTTACTTTCTTTTTTGAGCATTCAAATTGAGTTAGTTTGTAAATTGTGCTCGGGCGAATAGCGCACAAATAGCAAAAAGTTTGGGTATGTGCATTATAAAAGTTCGATTCTAGACAAATCTTGATAGTAAATTATGTGTATACAGCACAAAAGACTGGTTTATAGAGTATATCAAATTTTTGGACTGTCCGTTTGTACACAAAATCCGAATCAATTATTTTAACAGCTTTTTGATCGCTCGCATCTCTTTCTGCACGTCCAGTTGTGCGTTATATTACATTGGTGACCCGTCCTCGTGAATTTTGGTCGTCCAAATGCCGGGCATTAGTTGAGGAGGTAGATTCGATTGAGGAGTGGCAAATTTCCTAAAAGTATTCGTAGCGTAGATGGTATTGGAGTTGGAACTGGGCACATAGCCTTTGTTGTCCAGTCCATCGATGACCGTAAATTGTGTTGCCATGTTCTGAGCGCCATGCGAAACCGGTGAGGAGGGCCTGGAGATGGGATGTGTGCGTGGACTGCTGATCAGGGACATGCAGATGCCGCCAATGACGGCCAGCGCGGTGTAGGAGGTCTGCGGTATCAGCTGGCCAATGACAACGGTAGAGCCAATGAACGGTGCACCCAGCAGCCAGAACCGAGCCCAGCAAATCGTTGAAAAGGAGGTGATCTTACGTTTCTCCTGGCTAACCAACTCCACGGTGCTTGTGGTAAGTATGGAGAGCGAAGTAGAAATGGCCATTTTGGATACCATAGCCGTGCACATGAGCATCGCTACGTTCGCATCCAGCGACACCACGCCTGGCTTGGGCACCAGCCAGCAGCACCAGGCAAAACAGCCGGCCACAATATTGAATATGCCCGCCCAGAGCCATTTGCGTGTGGTGTTCATTATCAAATAGAGTCCAATGAATGTGCCAATCATCTCACTGAAACCGGCCACAAAGGTGTTAATGTACAGATGCTCCCGACTGAAGGACCGTATGTTCAGCAGGCAGCCGTAGTAGACGCTTATGTACAGCGACCAGGCCAGATGCACACAGATCATGTGCCGCACCGCTTTCTCACCCTTCCAGATAGACCACCAGCCGGCCGGTGGAGGTGCATCCATGGCCGTTTGTGCCTGTAGCTCCAGCTGCTGGTCAATGTCATGCGGCAGACTGAGGCGTGTTCCGTTCATTTCGGCACACTGGAGCAATATCTTTTTGGCATCCTGCACACGGCCGCGCTCAATCATCCAGCGCGGCGAGTCGGGTATCCATCTGTAAACAAATTTTAAAAATTAATTATCAAAAACTATGGTAAATTTTTGTAACTCTTCTTTTGTTTTTCTTTAACTAGTTTTTAGCATTTAATTCATCACACTTGCGCAGCTTTGCCACCCAGGCAACAATTTTAATAGTTTGGCATGTGCAATTAAATTTGTTTTAATCATATCACGATTTGTGTAATAAAAGAAAACAGTCTTTATAAGCGGACTGAAGGTACTATAGATCGCGTATGTGTTGGTGGTTCTCATTGACCAATAAGAATTTGCTACTTACTGCCACAGGTAGATGAGTATGACTGTCGGCCAGGAGATGGCCATATAGAGGTGAGACCAGCTGGACCAAAAGCTGGCAACGCCTGGCAACATCATAACGCCAATCGACCAGAATTGCTCGAAGAGCGTCGAGACGCACGTGCGATATTTGCCGCCAGTAATGTCGGCCACTAGAATATAAAAGATGATCAAATTTATTGTGTACTGTGTAAAGGTGTGCGTAATAAGAACTTACTTATCATGCCGCCGGCGGTGTACATCTGAGCGCAGCAGACAGCGGAGAGGCATCTAAAGAAAACATGAAGTTCATAGGAAGCCACATGGCCAGTCAGATTGCCACAGAAGATTTGCGTGATCATGCCAAAGAGCATAACGCTGCGTGGACTAAAGCTAAGGTGGACAGACACAGATAGAGAGAAACAGAGACAGGAGGTGAACAATTGTAGTTGGATTTCGGTAAGTTATAATTGGTCTAATTGAGCTTACTATTTTAATAAGTGATTGGCCAAAATGCCGCCGGTGAGAACGCCAAACAGATGGAAGAACTGCGTCACCGAGACAAGTATATCGCGCGAGCAGACCAGATCGTATTGCGTGACCACCGAATGGTAGTCGCTCTCATGTTGGAACTCCGTGCAAGGTATCACATTCGAATTGCGATTGAGCGGCTTCTCCCAGACGCGCGGCTCCTGTGCACTGTCCTCGTATTTGTAGTAGTGATGCGCATGCTCCTGCGCATCCTCGTACACATTGCAGAAATCGATGCTAAACTCTTGATCCTCCTTCTCCTCCTTTTGCGGATGCGACACCTTGATCCATTGTGTCTGATTTTGGGTGCCAATCTCTGCCGGCGGCTTGCAAAAGAATTCGCCATGCCGGGGCGCGGGTGCCGTGAAAATGATGCACGCCATGAACCAGGAGGAGGGTATTTTGCACAGAAATATTAAAAGTACGGTGCGCAGCTGCCATTTACCCCACTGGCCGGTAATCCGACCCACTGCATCCACTTTACTTTGCATTTTGATATTGGGCGTCGGTGGCTTCCCCTCGAGACGTGCGAAAGTGTCGTGCGGATAGAGCTTGTAGTCGTGCGTGTGCTTATGGGCGGGCGTCAGACTGTCCAGCGGCGTATAGAACTCCTCCTCGTTGTTGTTGGGCTCCCCCTCCTGCACGTTAAGCGTGGGTGTAGGCGACGGTGTGGGCGAGGCCAGAGAGTTGGTCAGCGAGCTGCGACGTCGGCACTCGGTGGGCGTGTGTGCGGTATACTGGCCACGTGGAGCGTTTGTTGATATGTGCGGATTTGTTGCCTGTGCAGGTGCGTTTGTTTGGGCTCTGGTGGGCGTGGCCGTGGAGGTCGGCTCGTTTTCCTTTAGGGGGAGTAATGGTGATTCAGCCTGTGGAAAAGTTGGCAGTTGGGGGAATTGAGGATGAGTATATGTGTCCACACAGTTATTAAAATCTGAATTAACTAACTTTAATCTCAGCTCAAAAGAGTCACAAAATTCTGCCTTTTTTTTATATATATATTTCTAATTTAATTTAATTAAATATAAAAATTAATCACGAATTTGCTTACAGCGACTTCAGTGCAAATTGCTTGATTTGATAAACAAAAACAGCCTGAGCTTAAAATTAACCTAACCTCAAATTACGTAACCTCAAACTCGGCTTAACCTCAAATTTAGATTTACTCAAATTCAGTGCAAAAATATTGATTTTTAATATCAATTCAGTCTGAGGTTAAAATTAATTTCACTTCAAATTACGTAACCTCGAACTCCGATTAACCTGAAGTTAAGATTTACTCAAATTCAGTTTAACCTCAAATTTAACCTAGCCGCAAATTTGATTGCACCGCTCAACTCTGCCAACTGGCCTTTACCCCACATTACCGACAAATACGTCAGATACTTCCCACACACAATGGCATTAAGGACCTGCCCCTGATTATCTCAAGTGTTGGCCATTCTCGACTCGAGTGCATTATGTTGAGCGTGCTGCTAAGCATCCTAGATCCTAGCATCCGAGTGGCTGCAACCGCTCTAGTGGCAAGTCCAGCCACTCGGAATCTTTTGCTTAGCGACTTGGGACCCCGCAGCTACAACTTCAGCTTCAGTCACGGTGCAGCCGCTCGGATACCAAAATAATGAATATAAATTGCATTGGCGCCGGGCCGGGGCCCATCTCTCTATTTAAAGCGCTACTCAAGTAATTTGAAACCCAGCGCCATGCGAAGGCAACTACATATCAATTCAAGGCACACATACACACACTTGCCTTATCATTGATATCATTTCAATTCAGGCGGGGACCAAAGCTGGGCACGGACCACGAAAAGGCGGTCACCGGCTGCCACAGTCTGCCGGCAGCGACCGCGTCCTTGGCTGGCTGGGAATCAGGTCGCCTTCATGGGCCGCACCACGCTGAATACTGAACACATTCGCATTACGCATACGCCGCGTTGTACATTCAGTTTTTTTCATTCATTTGCCAGAATTTTTTTTTCTCCCGGTTAGCCATTTAATCAGCCGAAAATACTTAATTACTCATTTGCACGCCGCGCATACCCTTTCATAAGGCAGAGTACAGGCAACAAGGGAGTCATAAAAGCTGGGTTTGAACGGGTCAAACTGGATATAACAAAGGTGCAGGGACTAACAATGAGAGGCAGTTGTTATAAGTATAATATATTAAAAATTTGCCATTACAATTGGATATAATATATATCAAAAAGGAAAAAAGGATGCCATGTCCGTCTGCAGCTTACTCTTTTTGGACATGTTCTACCATTTTCTAATATTGATAAATATTGAATTTAGGACGTTTTTTAAGGCATAAGTCAACATTTATAGAAGTTAGTTATGTCACACTAGGTAGGTAGAATAGTACAAACATTTAAGTCTTTGGTTTTCGCCAATATTGCAATCTCATCTTATCGAGACTTTTCGAACAAAGCATCCGATTAAAGCATTCTGGTACAGTCTCTCCTTTTCTTTATAAGTACAGGGTATATTGTAGTCGCATTCTGTCTTTTCTTCTTAAACCATCTTATCTTCTTTTATTTTTACTTCTTGAATAGCTTTCCCATTCACCCCAATATTGAAATCTCATCTGATCGAGACATTTCTATTAAAGAATCCTTTCTGGTATAGCCTCCATAAGTACAGGGTATATTGTAGTCACATTCTGTCTTTTGTTCTCAAAACACTTTAATTGATTTCTCAAGCATTAAGCTTCTTTTATTTTTACTCATTGAGAATAGCTTCCCCATTCTCCCTAATATTCGAACCTTATCTGATCGAGACCTTCCGATTAAAGCAGAAAGAATTTTCTGGTATATAGCCTTTTCTTCTCTTTATAAGTACAGGGTATATTGCAGTCGCATTCTGTCTTTTGTTCTACTTTAGCCACTTTAATTGATTTCTCAAGCATTAAACTTCTTTAATAATAATTTCACTCGAAATAACCTAAACTTGTCAAGTTCAACTTTGGAGTTCTTAAAGTTTTTGCCTCTCATTTTCGTTTTTTGTCTTGACAAATGACGTCGAGAAAAGAAAAAAACGACATCAACAAGACCCCTGCTGGCATCCCATATATATATATATATATAAATATATATATATATATATATATATATATATGTGTATATGTATATATATAAATATATATATATATATTTTGTATAGTTTGGGTATATCTCATGCAGTTGTGTAAGCTCGAGCTATGCTTGTCTTCTTTTTGTTTTACTGTCGCATTTTTATGTTTTGGCATAATAATATTTTGTTTGTTTCGTGAGTCAAAACAGTAAAATGTGCTTTGCGGGTTTGCTGTACAGCACTTGCCTCCATATGACCTATTTGTGTGCTATACAAAGCAGATAAATTATAGAGCACAGAACTTAATAGAATGTAGTCGGAGAGAATGTTTAATATGCCAGACCACATCCTGCTTTATGCAGAAGGATTAAAGGAATGGAATTTGTTACTCGAATTAAGTTCAACATTTAATAAACTCCGAACGAGATGCTCATTTAGAGAACTTTTGCTTAATTTCAAAATATCTTAAAACAATAAGTGCACTTCATTTACATTGTGATTTCATGCATCATTAGAAAATATCGTATGTCGACAAACCAACCCAAAGGCTATGAAAAAAGACCTTGACAAGGGAGGGGGGAATATGCTTGTTATTTTATAAGTAATGCCAAGTTCTCTATGAAGTAATATTTATAATTTATTTAATAACTGAGCTGAGATGAATCCATTTATTTATGAATATTTATATAGGAAATATGCTTAGTTTTTGGGCATTTTATCCGTGTAAATTCGCACTAAAAACAGCATTTTTTTCCGCAAATTCATGCATTATTAGAAAATATCATATGTCGACCAATCAACGAAAATTCATGACTAAATATTACAATTCCGACCGCAGGGCATTTGACAAGGAACCTTGAAAAGGGAGGAGGAAAATCCTTGTTAAGCTCGGTAACAAATATGCATAATGCATGTGAAAATGTAAATCGTGTTTGTATATCAATTTCAAGAGCTGCACGAATATACAAAATGTGGAAAAACTTGTTTCACGTTACGATTTCCATTTGCAAGCGCTGCCAAAAAATATGCAAGAGTTTTTGCATTTTCCGTTAATTTTCTATTTTTGGTGCGAGCTTTTCACAATCAGTTAAGCAAACAAGTTGGTTCATTTAACGGGCGATTGTTCCCTGCGATTGTTCGGATCGACTTATTGATATATTCGGGCCGACACTTGCGCAAATAGTTCTCAAGGTTAATGCCAATTGCCGGCACTTGTTGTTGTTTTTGTTCTTTATGGTGTTTTACTCGACTCGTAAAAATAAAACAAATGGCTGTAAATAAATGAACCCTTCTGTTTTGTGCGGTCACGTGACGGTTCAATAAACTTCCCAGACACTTAACGCGCTTCTATTGAACCCGACCGAGGTCCATTGCATAAGAGATTTTTAATAAAAATATTACTCATACGCCCCGTTGTGCGTGAAATTTGATGGGCTGAGCCGCGTGGGCGACTGGTCGGATAATTAGCTAACTTCTGACTGTCAACTGATTTAGTGGGCGTGTGTCCGTGGAGCGTGGCTGTACACATTGTTGCTCGCCTGTGAAAATGTCATTAACATGCTAACACACACACACACATAAACAACAAGTAAAAGGTTCTAGTCGGGAGCTCCCAACTAGGAGTTCCCCTGAACCCTCTTCTTTCAACATCAAATGTATATATATATTCTATTTTAGCAGCTATATGTCAAGTTCGGTGACTTTAGCTCTTATTATTTACCAAAATTGCCCAAAAAGCAGGATCTCGATATCGATTTTTATCGATTGCTTGGGAACGGAATAAGTTATCGATTATCGGAAACAAACTCAATCTGCGCGGGAGCTAGGAGCATCATTGCGTTCATACATACGGACGGACGGACGGACGGACGGACAGACAGACGGACATGGCTCGATCGACTCGGCTATTGATGCTGATCAAGAATATATATACTTTATGAGGTCGGAGATGCTTCCTTCTGCCTGTTACATACATTTGGATTTTGCACAAATACAATATACCCTTGTACCCATTTTTAATGGGTTCAGGGTATAATTAAATGTCTAGAAAATTAGTGTTTCTTATTTTTATCAAATATTATATTGTGTCAATTTTAATGGTATTAAGATTAAAATATTTTGTCTTCATGTGGCCCTATCTCCCAACTTCGTGCTCTGTGCTCAGTTCTTGTCGCTACTCAAGCGACTTTATATTAAGAACATTTATTAAAATTTAATAAATGTTATGCTGCTTTTTATTGAATATTGAATAGTGTCAATTTCACAGCTATTTCAATTAAAGTGTTTTGTCTGCATGTGTTTCGATCTGCCAACTTTGTGTTCAGTCCGACTTGATATAGATTAAGCTGTCAGTAAAATCACTTTTTCCACACGTAATTATAAAGAAAAATTCATTTCAATTTATTTCTTCTGCCTTTTCAGTTTAAGCTCTTTATGGTTTTCGTTCATTCACATTAAAAATGTTGCCTCGATTTTTATATTGAACTTTTCAATTGATTCCCAACTGAAATTGATGCCTGTCACAGCGTGCAATTCTTTCGATTTCGCATTTTAATAAGCGCAAAACCCAAATAAACCGAGCCATAAATAATTCATAAGCTGCGTGAGTCCCTGCTCCCTGCTCCTTGCTCCATGTTCCTTTGGAGCTGCCTCTGCTGACTGATGGGCGCCCACACCAAAAAATTCACGACTGATTGCATTTCACACTGTTGAGGTGTGTGTGTGTCTTTTGCTCTGTTTAATAATCTTATTAATGCCCTCTTTAGCAGCTGCGGCAGTAAATATTTGGCTGCTGGTCT